CCAAGGTCATCCAGGATCGCCGGAAGCTACTCATACCAGCAATGATTAGGGCGAAACAAGATGGAAAAACAGCATATGTATCCGTTGATACGTTGTATATCAACAACAAAATGTTTACTGTAGATACAGTATCAAACAGTGGTTATTCAAACTAGGATGACTCTGAGAAACAGTTACGTTTCTTACTCTGGAATATACAGGGTATCAAAAATAAACTAAATGATTGTGAATGCAGACAATCATTTTTGAAAACAAAGCGTAAAGCCAAATTTTTGTTTTATCAGAAAGAAAAAATAAAGCTGTCTAGTATGGGCAAAACAGCTCCTCGAAAGTTCTGGAAATACATTTATAAATTTAAGAACAACAATAATTCCAAGATTCCTATTAATCTAGAGGATTTTAAAAAAACATTTTGAAAATGTTTCAAATGAAAATCATGGTCAATTCAATATATATATTTTTATGATTACTAGGGATAATGATGCTGTATATTGATGATCTTGATAAATCTATTTCTGTGGATGAAGTAAGTAAAACTATATCTAAGTTAAGCCGTTATAAAAGCTGTGACTACGAAAATAATGTGGCAGATTTCTTTATTGACTGTAGAGAATTTATTTCTCCTTATCTTTGTACAATATTTAACCATATATTTGACAACTGTGTATACCCAAATTCCTGGTCAAAAGGAGTTATTATACCAATCTATAAAAAAGGTGACAAAGGGGTCCCTTCGAATTATAGAGGTATTACATTGGTAAATACAATTGGTAAAAAATTTTCCTGATTGTTAAGGAACCGTATTAACAATTGGTGTGAAAAGAATGATGTTTTAAGTGACTCTCAATGTGGATTCAGAGATGGCCGTTCTACAACTGATGCAATTTTTTTACTACATGCAATTATCCAGAAAATCTTATACAAAAATCTAAACTTTGGTGTGTTTTTGTTGACTACCAAAGAGCTTTTGACTCCGTTAACAGGGATGCATTATGGGTAAAACTTATTAAAGCCGGCATTAGTTGTAAAATGACCAATAAGATGAAATGTATTTATAATGATGTACAATCATGTGTTAAAATATCTAGTACTATGCAGTTGTCTGAATTTTTCATTGTATCGATCGGTCTGAAGCAAGGAGAGCCATTATCTCCCTTACTTTTCATTATTTTCGTAAACGATATTATTGATAGTATAGACTTTAATACTTTAACTGATAAAAGTTTAGAATTGTTATTTCTGTATATTATATTGTTTGCTGACGACATTGTATTGTTTACTACGAATCCTGTTAGTCTACAGTCACAAATAGATAATATTTTTTATTATTCAGAAAAATGGGGTCTTAAAATTAATGTAAATAAAACCAAAATATGTGTTTTTGAAAAGCGCAGATCTAATGATGTAAATAAAGATTTTTATATCAACGGTGAGAAAATTGAGCAAGTAGATAACTTTACTTACTTAGGCATTAATTTTATGTATACAGGTAATATGCAGTAAAGGCGCTACATGATCAAGCATTAAGAGCGTACCACAATTTGATGCTTCTATTTGACAAAGTGAAATTTGATGTTAAAACGAAATTATTATTATTTGATACAATGGTGGTGCCAATACTTTTATATGGTTCAGAGATTTGGGGGGTATATAACTATAAAGAAGTGGACAAATTACATCAGATTTTGTAAGCATGTTCTAGGTGTAAAACAATAAACCCCTAACTATGCGGTACTGGGAGAACTGGGTAGATTACCGTTATCTGTTACCTGTAAAGAACGATCTTTAAATTTTTGGCTAAAAATTATGAAAAATGTTTCTTCTCCCATTTATGTTAGATATAAAGATCTTATTGACCACAATATTCATAGCTGCTGGGCTTCTCGTATACATTCTATTATTGATCATCTTGGATTTGCTCATATACGACAGTTGTAAATATTTACCAATGTTTAAGAATCGTTTACGCGATCAGTTTTTACAAGATTGGTCAGCGTCAATACGATCTATGCCTAAACTTGAATATTATTGCAATTTCAAAAAGGAGTTTAAATTTGAAAACTATCTTAATGTAATTGAAAATGACTCTCTTAGAAACAGTTTAGCTCGTTTTAGATTAAGCTCGCACAATTTAGAAATTGAAACAGGTCGTTATAGTGGTATAGTTAGAGAAAACCGATTGTGTAAAATGTGCAACCAAAATGTAATTGAAAATGAATACCATTTAATGTTTTGTTGTAGTAAATATAGAAATCTTAGAATTAAATATCATTGTAATGTATCTTGGCCTAGTAAGAATATTTAAAAAATATGTAATATTGCTAAATACATTAAAGATGCTTTTACGTTAAGAAACAATACACTGGAAAATATTACAGTTTCTTAAATGTTTGAAATATTAATTTTTGTAATACTTTATATGATGTTTGTATGCTTTTGTATATATTATACAATATGTCTGTCTTTGCCATATATGTTAATTGTAAATATGGCCAAAGACATTTTACATGTCGATAGCCAATAAATGTTGAAACCTTTTGAATTAATACCCTGTATTTTGCACTATAAAAATCTTCATCTTCTAATAAATTAAAATGTGCTTCGACGGCCATTATTTACTTGCATTGAATTTAAACTTGTTTGAACTGTACATAAAGACAACTTGATTGACAGGCAATCGACATCTTTTTGGGCGCTAGAGGTGTCAACCAAAATGAAAAGGCGGTCTTAAAAAGACTTCAGAGAAGGTTGCCGATGTGCGTACGTGACAAACTGTAAGCAAGTTATTGGTCTATATCAAATTTTATAGAACTTATTGCTTCGCTACGCCTTTGGCTTCGCTCGCAATAAATTCCATAAAATTTGATATAATTATGACCAATAACTAATACGTAATTACAGTATTGACAACCACACACAAATGTTTGTTAACGACCGTTACAATAGGGCAAATGACGTCATATTTTCTAGTGACATTAGGAATACTTACACACACTTGAATTCCTTGAATTTTAACGTCTATATGTAGTGTTTAAAGAATACCATGATGCATCAAAGTAATGAACTAACCCAATTATTTGTCGTGCGCCGGTACTACGTTACCAAGGTAACTGTATGACGATTCGTTTTCACAACATGCCGGTTACATGTTTTTTTTTTTTGCCGTCTTTTTTCTTTTGTTTTGATTTCCCCTTCAACATGTTCAAGTGATATATAATTCATGTTTTTCTATCAATAACTCTCACGACAATAACTTCAGTGGATAACCCTCGTACGTAAAACATACCGCCCCAAAGCCACTGCTTCGACACAATTCATCTGATTCCAATCCAAATATAATTTTTACAAGTGTGAAGGGCCCCCTTGACAGAAATATAAGGCTGGAAGCCCTAGTCCCAGTGGAACGACCGTGAGAGCTCCGCGCGCGCAGCCCGTTTTCGATGTTTTATTCTAATTGGCATGTAAGTGTACAAAAAAACATCGCCCCAACAGCCACTGCTTCAACACCATTCGTCTGATTTTGTTGCAAATTTGATTTTCTACAAGTGTGAAGGGTCCCCTTAACAGAAATGTAAGGCTCGAAGCCCTAGCCCCATTGGAACGACCGTGAGAGCTCCGCTCGCGCGGCTCTCTTTTCATTTAAACATCCTTATTAACATGTAAGTGTCCCCTTCGGAGCCCTACTCCCAGTGGAAACGCCCATAAGAGCTCCGCGCGCGAGGCCAATTTTCGTTGTTTCGTCCATATTAACATGCAAGTGTACGTAAAATCACACCGCCCTCACAGCCACTGCTTCGACACTATCCGTCTGATTCCGTTGCAATGCGATTTTCTACAAGGGTGAAGGGTCCCCATTGACAGAAATGTAAGGCTCGAAGCCCAAGCCCCAGTGGAACGACTGCGAGATCTCCGCGCGCGCGGCCCGTTTTCATTTAAACATCCTTATTAATATGTAAGTGTACGTAAAATAAATCGCCCTCACAGCCACTGCTTCCACACCATTCGTCTGATTCCATTGCAAATTCGATTTTCTAAGAGTGTAAAGGGTCCCCTTGACAGAAATGTAAGTCTCGAAGCCCTAGCCCCATTGGAACGACCGTGAGAGCTCCGCTCGCACGGCCTCTTTTTGTTGTTACACCCTTATTAACATGTAAGTGTACGTTAAACACATCGCCCCCACAGCCACTGCTTCGAAACCATTCGTCTTATAGAATAGACAATGAAATTCCTAGATTTCAGTTTGTAATTCTAAAATGAGCAATGAAAATTCTTATTTTATTCAGTGCTTCCCTAAAAATTTTACAGGAAGTCAAACTTATTTTAGATGGCTTTCGGTTCAAAAAATTGTGGTTGCATCGGCTGTACTGGTCGTATAAAGGTCATATACACAATGTATTTATTAGAATGTGGTCTTTCAATAAGAGAATCTGATCAAAGTAATTCGTTACATGAAAAATAAACACAACTGAAGAAAAATAAGCCCGTTCCATGTATTCTAGGCTTAATAAGGGTCCGTCCGCTCTTTCAAGCAGAGAGTACGGACGTCTCATCCTATTTCAGTCGTTCTTCGATCTTTAGTATTGGTTTATACAGAATTCATTTTAGTTCGATTGTGGAGGCAGCTTCAAGCTTATAGACACACTCTCGAATCTGTTCCTGGAACCAACCAGTACTAAACAATGAGTGTAAAGTTTCTTGCTCAAAGAAACAACGGCTCGCCTCTGAAAGGGCTTGAATCCACGCGGACTGAGATCCTTAGATTACTGGTCCGACGCGATAACCACTCGGCCATGTCGACACAATCTTTAGTATTGTATTCGATTAATCATAATGATCTCTTTTCATCGGTTCTCGTTTTAAGTTGGAATGATATAACTTAAACACGGTGAAATGTATAAACAGAAAATGAGGAAAATTCAATATCCGCTATACCATTATCTAATAAGACCAGAAGTACTACAAGAAACTATATTAAGAAACTATAAATTACAATTCTTCTCTTTTATTTTCTTTTTTGCATAAATATAATTATAATAAAGTTTGAGTATTATATACTTTTTACATAATTTAACATGTATAAAAAATGGAAACAATTTGATATAAGTTAAATAGAAATGTATCATAAAATTGTAAAAATGAGTTTTACATTCTGCAAAAAATGCAGATATTTGAAATATATATAAAGGCTGGGACAAAAAGAATTTGTCCCAGATAAAGGTCAGCTTAAAACATACCATTATAAAGCTATTGATAAAAAGATAATAACCATAGCAAAAGCACACATATAAAAAATAAAACATGATTTGGGGTGGGGCTAGGGGGTGGGGTACTCTACAAACATAACACAGAGGAGTAGCATCATAAAATCAAGATAACTCTAGACAATCTAGATAACTCTTCAACAATGAGAGAATTAATCAAAATATAATATTTACATTTTATATAAAAATAAACATATATTATGGCATTTTATTAGGAAAACAATATACATGTATTTGTAAAGAAGCTCTCTGCATATAAAAAATGATAAAACTTTTTTAACCAAGGTTAAAAGTCTGAATAAATTGGTGCAAAAAAACATTAAAAGTGAGCATTTTTCGCATGCGCATTTCGCTTTATATTATAACGTGAAAATCGTGCGGTTTATATCCACTGATTGCAGTAGAATAGTTTGATGCCGCGGTAAGTCTAAAATAATAATGCAGTTATACCCAAAACTAAAATATTATATTGACTGTACCAAGTGCACTATAATTGGTGAGGGGTTAGTTAGTTTCACACACATTTACCCTGCCATTTATTACAAATATATGCATATAACATTATATATCGAAACGTCAGTCACGAAAAACTAGATCATGCACCTGTTCACATTTGAATAACCTTGCAATCTATTACGTCTACCTTTATAATCAAGCTATTCATTCGAATATGGACATTAACCATCAATAAAATATAATTAATACACATACATTTATCCTTTCATTTAATTTATAAAAATGTTCAATCTGCTTTTATACTACGGCGACGAATTCGCACCATGTGTACTTTTTCGTGTGGCTTTGGCAACAAAAACCATACTGACACCGATTGAACATTCCACAAAACTCACAAAACATCTGTGCATTTTACCTAGTACACACTTTGCACGAGCATAGCTTTTCTTTTGCAGGAAGTCCAGTCACTGCCTGTGAATGTTTTATTTACAGTCTTCGCACATCTATTTTAAAACTCTGAATTGTCAGTCATATTTAATTAAACGTTAAATATATCACACTTTATCACTATTGTAGGATTTTAAAAACCCTGTTTTTTGATGTCTGTTTTCAATGCATGATTTATTGCTGAAATGAAATATAAAAAGATTGTATATAATATATGATTATCATTCAAATAGCATTTAGAAATAAATACACAGTCAAACATATTTAGTGTTATAAATGCCACATGAAAACATTCAATTATACAATCATATAAAAATTTAAATGAATAACAAAACTTTCATATCTTATAAATGTCTCGTAAATATATTAAACTATAACTAGTTCAATATATTGAAAATAAATATCAAACTTTAGATTAAAATCAAATATTTAAGGACATTTAATATTTTAAATATAAATTTTGAAGTTGTTCAGTTATGTATCACAACATGAATGTATTTTCAACAAAGAAAACCAGTTTAAAGAAACTTGTCAATGCTGTTATTTCTTTAAAAGATGTTTGTTTAAAAAAGTTATTCCTAGAAAAGTAATTAAAGAATCAGATTTCCGGAAAATGCACGAAAATCACGGAACTTACCGTAAACACCGGATGAGGATGTTGTTCATGTTGCGGCCGTGCTATTTCGTACTGGAAAAAACACAGGGAAGCAAAATATATAAATAATAAATACAGAAAAAAAATGCAATAAGCACGCACAAAAAGATAGTTAGCTGGAAAGTAAAACCCAATCGAGCACATTCAGTCTACTGCAATTGGCTCACTTCTGAGTAACAATATATTTTTATTTAAATGCCATAGAATGTATCAAGAGCCTATTTAGTTCACTTTGGATCGAATATGATTATAAATTTTATATTTGTGTCTTTTTTTTATTTAAATATTTTAATCAATAATCAGCAAAAACTGGATAAATATAATTGGTGTCACAATCCGTTAAAATACTTACTCTTTCATGTGGATGAATATAATTGTAGAGAAAATCCCAGGAGAAATTTGACGTCAAAGCATTGTCGTATGCTGCAAAGAACAAAAAAGCAACCATATCAATCATAATAATTTACCAATATATAAACGAAAACGTTTGTTCCAACTGAACTTACTGCTCCCGATTTTATCCTTAGAAATTTCAGTGGTTACGGGCATTTATATCAATGTCCGTGAAACTATGTTAAAATTCAAAATTAACAATTGCCCGATAATCAAAATCACGTTTTACTGGCGGTATTAGTTTAAAGCATCTAAATTGCTAATGCCTAACAAAAAAATCTACATGTTGCAAGTTCACTTAAGCCAATGTCCTTTATACAATTATAATTACATTACATTATTACAAAAATGAATGAATTTGAATATCTGATCTTTAAAGAAAGGACCGATTGGTATCACGGAAACAGCCGATTGTGATCATGAAAAAACGGCCACATTGAGTTTAAGGGCCATGTCCCTTCAACAAATTGTTATCGACAAAAATACATTGAGATGAAAGAAATGTGTATAAGTGTACTTACAATACATTTCATCGGCCCGCATAAAATCATTATCTCTCCGACTTCTATGATGTTTGCCGTCGTCAGTTGACCTTGACATTGATTCGTCGTCCCAGGTCTGGGGACCATATAGCCGACCCACGGGATTATTTCGGCCCCATGTACTAATTTTAGTCGGTATAGTATTGGGGAAGAACCCGTTGTTGAAAGAGCCCCTGAAGAAAATGAAATATAAATAATCTAATGTGTACAATATAAGAAAACACAGTACTATTTGATTGTATAAACAAACCAGCACTTATATAGTTCATTTACACTTTGTTTATATATGTAATTCCATCATTTGTAAATAAAAACGTGGAATTTTAACTTAATGGGTTTTCACACCATTCAATGTTATATCACATCTCTCTTTAATCTAACCGCAAAAAGATGCGATCGCGAAACACATATATGTTTATGCTAATAAGAATTTTAATTTTAAATTATTTTACTTTTGACTTGACTAAATAAATGTTAGTTTAAAATATACCCCGACTCTTAGCAAAATATTAAAGATTTTGTGAATACCTGTCATTGAATTCTTCGGTATGGTAGCGCTTTTTCTTGTTGTTCTTTACAGCATATATAATAATTATTGCAATAACAAGGGCGGTAATCAGGAACAGTGGTACACCGACACCAAGTCCTATCACCAGAGGGAAATTATCAGACGTCTGTGTTGGTCTGAAAAATGTCAGATCAAACATTTAAAAATATTGATGACATACAATGAGTATTTTCCTTTTCCGTATTTTCACTGTAAAAATTTATTTTTCATATTTTCCGTATTTTCACTGGTGTCTTGCTAGACTACTTTTTCCTATATTCAGCCAATACACAAAATTTAAGGGGAAGTTTTTCAAATTGTAATGTTAAAAAAACAGAGAAAATTATATATAATAAACAGAAAATTCAAGTTTTTTAATCTATAAATAGATTTGATTTATATTCAACTTGTTATATGAAAACTATTATTTTTCACTCGTGGCTACCACTCGATGAAAATAAATCATGTATTTATAGGGGAAAAAACTTGAATATCCTCTATATACATAAGAATTTACATGAAAACAAACGTTTATGACGTCAGACGCGTCATTATGTATTTAAAACTGACGTAACTAACTTACTCGCACAAGGGGCTGTCATTTTTTATGACACATTCTTCATTAGCAGCACACTGTCTACCTCTCGCTTCATAGAAAGCTGTACATAGCACAGACTTCTTACTGTCGCCAGAAATATCGACTGAAAATAAAACAAGAGCTCAGTTCCAACAACTGTTACTAATAATCAGAAGTAAAATCTCCGAAATCTATTCTTTTTTAATTTAATTTACATTTGTAATTTAAAATTTAATTAATGACCTTTACAACTTATTTGTCAATCTTCTCTTACAAAAATATCTATTTTATATCATATATAATTAGTTTATTCTACACTTTTATTTACTTTACATCGTTGCAATTTGACTAAAATCGTCCACTACCGTTAAACACAAAAAATGTACCGAAAAAAAATATGGAAATATAAAAAATCCAAATCGTGAGCATATTGTGAACAAAAAATATCTATTTCATATCATATAATTATTTTATTCTCCCCTTTTTTATCTTTGCGCCGTTCCAAATTTGCCTATATCGTTCACCGCCATTAAACAGAGAAAATATACAGAAAAGCGACGTGGAAATAAAAAAAAATCCAAATCGTAAGCATATAATTTGTTTTCTCAAATCAATAATAAATCATCACTTACTGGTTTCCTGCCCTATAGTGAGCCCCTCAGCAACAGTATTAGCTCCAAACACACTCACAGTGCTGCCGGTAACCAGGCTGTAGACAGCACGTGAAAATTGTTGTGATGCCGCGTTACTATCGCTGATCAACACGTCAACATCAGCAACAATACCTCCTCTACACAAATAAGTAAAGAATAATTGTAAGTTCATTAATCTTAGATGACAGTTATGCTTTCCACTACTAAGTATTAAAGCTGCATGCCTCCAGATGAGCCATAATATTTCAAGAAAATTAAACTTAAGAAAAATGTACAAAGATTTATTGCTAAGTAAAAAGATTCAAGATTCAAGTAATAATTTACATGTCATGTGTGAGGAATGATTGTGTAGTGTTCATCACCATATGTCTATGAGTTACTAACGCAGTAAGGGCTATTTTTGCATAATTATTTTGACCTTTATAATTATGGTAATTTAAGTGGATTGTTAGTGCCGATTTGCAATTTATAAATCGCTTTCTTCGTTCACATCACAGTATGTTACTTTTCAATACATTTTCAAAATTTTCATACAAATTAGCAAAGAATCTGGAGGCATGTTGCTTTAAGCCGTGTCGACAATAATTTTCAATATTCTAAACCTCATAAACAAGAACCGGTTGAACCGGGTGATGCTCCCCGAGAAGGTTCTGGACACAGGAAAGTATAAAAAAAATGAACAAAGGGCAAAAACTCAAAATTTAGGCAAAGCAGAGTTATGTTTTTTTTGCACTGCACTTCTATTCAATGAGATCTATCTATCTAAAAAGTTTCCTGATGATATCAGAGTTATGTCCAGGGTAAAAGTCAAAGTGTAAAAATGAACAAAGGGCAATAACTCCAAAATTAGACCAGGCTTTGTTTAGGTTCTTTAAGCATTGCAGTTCTATCAAAATATATCTAGCTACCTACAAAGTTTCATGTTGATATCTCTAATAGTTTTAAAGTAATGTCCAGGTCAAAAGTCAAAAAGTAAAAATAAACAAAGGGCAATTACTTCAAAATAAGGCAAGGCAGAGTAATGATTCTTAAGCACTGCACTTTCACCCAATGAGACCTATCTATCTACAAAGATTCATGTTGATATCTCTTATAATTTTAGAGTAATGTCCCAGACAAAGTTCAAAGTTTCAAAATGAACAAAGGGCAATAACTCCAAAAGTAGGCAAGACAGTGTTACAGTTCTTGTGCACTGCAAACTTACTCAATGATATCTATCTACCTACAAAGTTTCATGTTGATATCTCTTATACATTAAGAGTTATGTCCTGGAACAAGTTCAAAGTGTAAAAATAAACAAAGGGGGATAATTCAAAAATTAGGCAAGGCAGAGTTAAGGTTCTTGTTCACTGCACACCTACTCAATGAGATCTATCTACCTACAAAGTTTCATGTTGATACCTCTTTTACTTTTAGAGTTATGTCCCGGACAAAGTTCAAAGTGTAAAATAAACAAAGGGGGATAATTCAAAAATAAGACAAGGCAGAGTTACGGTTCTTGTGCACTGCACACCTACTCAATGAGATCTATCTACCTACAAAGTTTCATGTTAATACCTCTTATACTTTTAGAGTTATGTCCCGGACAAAGTTCAAAGTGTAAAATAAACAAAGGGGATAATTCAAAAATCAGGCAAGGCAGAGTTACGGTTCTTGTGCACTGCACACCTACTCAATGAGATTTATCTACCTACAAAGTTTCATGTTGATACCTCTTATGCTTTTAGAGTTATGTCCAGGACAAAGTTCAAAGTGTAAAATAAACAAAGGGAGATAATTAAAAAATTAGGCAAGGCAGAGTTACGGTTCTTGTGCACTGCACACCTACTCAATGAGATCTATCTACCTACAAAGTTTCATGTTGATACCTCTTATGCTTTTAGAGTTATGTCCAGGACAAAGTTCAAAGTGTAAAATAAACAAAGGGAGATAATTCAAAAATTAGGCAAGGCAGAGTTACGGTTCTTGTGCACTGCACACCTACTCAATGAGATCTATCTACCTACAAAGTTTCATGTTGATACCTCTTATACTTTTAGAGTTATGTCCCGGACAAATTTCAAAGTGTAAAATAAACAAAGGGGGGTAATTCAAAAATTAGGCAAGGCAGAGTTACGGTTCTTGTGCACTGCACACCTACTCAATAAGATCTATCTACCTACAAAGTTTCATGTTGATACCTCTTGTTGTTTCAAAGTTATGTCCCGGACAAGAAAAGGGGACGGACGGACGGACGGACGGACGGACGGAAAGACGGACGGACGGAAGGACGGACGGACGGACAAGGCGGCGACTATATGCTCCCCCGAAATTTTTTCGGGGAGCATAAAAATGTCTGCAGCAAACTTCAGACCTGTGCTGACTGAACTTTTGGATTCTTACAGAAGCAGTAAGCTTATTTTTAAGTACCATTGTAACTGCATTGTTTTAATGTTTCATACGAATTAAGCAGGTTTCATGCTTTACCTATATATTGATAACAATTTACCTACCTGGCTAAAGTCAGCACTCTAATGTCTTTTATGTTGCTACCCATTGTTGCTTGGAAGAATTGAAGAAGCTAAAATTAGCAGACGATAGATTTGTTATTTATGCAGACATACACATACGAATAAAGTTAAAAGGTTATGCACAGGAAACGTTATTATGAAGGGTACAAGTGCATTTGTACCTAATAAAACAATACACTTCACGTACATGTAACTGATTATGTTATTTACCTTGAAGGCCCATTTTGCCTTTGACATGCTATCATTTCTAATTCTCAAAACTTTTATTTTTAGTTACATTTTATTTTGAACATATAAACATTTTTTGCTTCTTTTGCTTTGTTGGCAATTGCTATAATTATAGTGAATTAGTATTTCGTATGTAAGTCATAACTACTTTTTTTTACTTTTTTTCTACCTTTATAACTCAATGCTGCAAAGTCAGCGCTACTTTCTTCAGCTGTTGAACAACTATATGCACTAAATCCATTAACAAAACATCTTTAAACACTTGTTTGCCATTTCTAAAGATATTTCTGAGGCATAATGAGCCTTTAAATAGGTCACTCTTCCATCAATTTAAATACCTGTGAAAAACGTGCAATAAATACTCACTCCAGTCCTGACTTCTGCAGCATAATAATTAAATGTAGCTGTAACTCTAAGGTCAGATTGTGTCGGCACTGTGTAGTTAAGAGTAATGTTTAAGTCGATCTTTATTTCTCCAGCTGAAATTAATATACTGTGCTCATTTCATGTAATTTATGCTGTATACATGTATATAAATTGAACTGAAGGAAATAAAGAAAATAGTGATTAATTTATTTTGATAAGAAAAAACACCCCCCAAAACATATATTTTTGTTTGCTCCACTTTTTAATTATTTTTTCAAATTTTCATTACTTTACCAATTATAAATGATTCAACAATAACGTGTTAAAAGATCTTCAAGCGATTCACTTTTAAGCTCTTCGTAAAAATAATTATTTAAAAGATATCTACTAATTCAATAACATATGTATAATTATGTACAATCATACATTATTATTTTATGTTATTTATGTTAATTCAAACTGATAATTGTAAAAAGTATGTAAAAAGTATAAATACACCGCCTTAAACGAGGTTCCAAAAAGTAAATAAATAAATAAAAAAAAATGTTTAAAGCGTTGTCCATTTGAAAGGTCAACGGTCAAAGACGGTCATCCCAGCTGCAAGAGACTGACCAGTGTGTTTTATAATGTCTTCTGTAACAACATTCAGGCAGAATTGAACTTTTGGTTTTGGTGATTTGATATAGATACATATATTATTATACTGTATAAATATTTTTTTCAGATATGACATTCTTTCACATTTTTAAGTTGAAATTTAAAATCTTACCAGGGGTAGGTGTAGGAGTTGTTGTTGTACCTGAAAGTATGAACATAAATAAATCGTCTTTCCTCAATACAGAAAATGAAATACATTCATAAACGTTAATTTCAAATTTAATACAATACAGCTTTACAAGTAATTTTTGAAACAAATAATACAGTACTAAAATCGTATTCTTATATATTTTATTTGAGAATAAATCATATTTTGCTATTTTTGAACTGTTACAAAAATAAGAAGAAATCTTACTCTGAACACAATCGCCATTGTTGTTGACTTCATATCCGACAAAACAGGAGCATTGAAATCCACCAATCGTATTATGGCAGCCTCGGTTTGAAACTGAGTCACAATTACTGGTTCCAGCAGCACATTCATCGACATCAGTTTCGCAACGGGAACCAGTCCACGTTGACTGACATTCGCATGTTCCGGTCACGTGATTACAAGACTGACTAGAAATAATGGCGTTGCTGTTGACACAGTCGCAGGAATTTGCACATTCATCTCCATACGTGTTATCCGAACATTCTGTAAGTCAAAAGTGATTATTTAACCAGATATGTACATGTATACAGGCTACCTAAAAAATTTAATCTTCGGGTTATATCAATTTCCTTGTAAGTTTGTGGTCATGTTCGTTTACTTGATTTATAATTTTTTAAGTTATTCAATGACTTATCAGCATAAATTAAGCGTAATTTTGTTAAAAAATTTAAGTTTCAAAACTTGCTTAATTATTTAAGTTTTAGTATACCCTCTATAATCTAGATTTGTTATAGTCTTCATGCACCTTGATGTTATATTAGAAGTGATTTCAAGTTGGCTGTAAATATTCTGTAAGTCAGTTCTTACTTGTACATGAATTATTATCACTCTTGTAACCAGTATTGCATGGACACTCGTAGCTTCCCGGCGTGTTAACACAGGTGGAGTCACGTGGGCATGTGCTCGAACCATCAGTGCATTCATTGATGTCCTCGGAACACGTGACTCCTGTCCAACCGGAAGTACATTGACACCCTGTTGCAGGATCACACTTGGTCGTGTATGTCACATTACAGTTACATGTATTTACACACTGCACACCCCAGTTACCAACGGTACATGCTAAAACACAAATACAAACAGAATATTACTTCTTACACGGATTATCAATAAAATAACTCTAACAGACCTAAAATTCCGTTTAATAAATGACATACGAGGGCTGTTCGGAAAATACATAGACTTTTGTTATAACTATGCGTTTTTTTTAAATTATATAAAAACAATAAAAAACATTTAGATTTTCTAGTTTTCCACCATATTGAACGGATCATTTCCATTATTCCCACACAAAATGTGACGAATTCTAAATCTGCTGTGTCACAACTTATCATACAAAATGCAACTAAAGAAGACCGGAAATCAACTTACGTGTACAACTATTTCCGGTTCCGGTATAACCAGGGAAGCATGAACACTCAAACGAGCCGGGTGTATTTGTACACTGGTAGAGACAAGATGATGTGCCAAGCAAACACTCGTCATTATCTTGAATAGAGAGGAATAATTAATATCATATCAAAGCATGATGACTCAAATAAACTCCAGATTAAAGCAATTCAAACAATGTTCAATTAAATCATGTCGGACAAAGAGCATCACTTAATATGAAATTAGGCAAAGCCTATGAACGGGGAAGTCGTTAAAAAATTCCTTTCATTCTTTCCGTTTTAAAATTGTCATTCGGTATTACATGCACCGCTTCCGTTTTCACTCGGAACACTCGACGTTTATTATTTATCCGAAAAGTTGAGATTTGTTCCGTTATCGGAATACCACGCCTTTTATCATTGAGTTACATTGTAAATGGCAGCGCCCGAGTAGAACTGACACTGAAAATTTCATTGATAGGTATAGAATTCTATATATTTTTGAAATGTTTTTTATTTGATTTTCTTTTAAATATACACGTGTAGTCTATAGCCGGGCAAGCCAAAGCCCGGACCCGCTTCGCGGGCCCGGTCTTTGACTTCCCCGTATAAACAAGCTTAAACAAATAGGTATCTAAAATAAGGTGAACAAAATGAACATTACATGTGTCTTAAAACAATGATGTTGAAGGCTCTGTAGGTAAATCTAGAAATGCGTCTGACACCGATACACGTGGATGTGTAAGCAATACAAATTCAATACAAACAAACATTTCATGTAATTAACAACACAAGCATATAACACAAAGCAAAACAGATAGAACATAATGTTTTGTATTGATATTTTGTTCTCTTCCAAATTTATTAATCATCGTTCAAGTTTGCATATTATCATTAAGATGTTAACCTACCTATACAAGTGCCCAGATTGTTTATTGTATAACCACCGATACAGTTGCACGTGAAAGAGCCGGGTGTATTTTCACAAGTTTTAAGTACGTCACCACAAATACTTGGATTCAAATCACATTCATTTACATCTGTGGAACATGTTGTTCCTTTCCAACCAGTTTTGCACGTGCAACTTCCATCAACAGGATCGCAGCTTTGTGTATTCGCAACATCGCACGTGCAAGTGTTCTCACAATTGGATCCCCAGTTTGTACTTTCACATACTGAAACATAGATAATTATAATAAACAATGGAGGTATCTTTGACGGTCACGGGAAATTTATAATTTAAAGAACAACGTTCTTGCAAATTTCAAAATGAAAGCAATATCGATGTCTAGCTAAAGACTTATCTGTAATTTACCTTGACAAGATCCATTTCCTGATTTGATGTATCCAACGTCACAAGAACAATAAAATGACCCCTGTGAATTTACACATTGTGAATTATCCGGGCACTGGTGCACTGCTGGATCTCGGCATTCGTCGATGTCATTGCTGCATTGACTTCCGGTCCATCCAGACTTACAGTTGCACGCGCCAGTTACTGTGTCACATGATAGTGTTGAACCAACTGCGCATGTGCAGTTCTGTAGGCAATCATTTCCGAACGTACCATCTGGGCAAACTGCAATAAGTCCGAAATTGTTTAAAAATGAACAACTCATTAAGAAGAAACAACTCTGTAAAGCAAAACGCTGGCGTCTGTTTGGATACTCAGCTTTATTTGCATTATGGTAAAAGGTAATAACTGCAATAATTAAGAAAACATTTGATTTTAGAAAGCTACAAATGTCAAACATGTGAACATTTATTTTTTCTTGTTCACAAAATCTGTACAAAAATATATCAATCGAAGTACGTGCCCATAAAAAATAACATGGCTGCAAAGATGGTTTTTTTTCAGAGACAAATCTCTCTGGTAAAGGTTTACCTATGCACGTTGACTGATCAACATCTAACTTATATCCGTCAATGTTGCATGAACACTGGTAACTGCCTGGAAGCTCTGTACATAGCTGAGAACAAGGACTGGGTAACTCGGAACATTCTTTTATATCTGTAATTAATGAAAAAATGATAAATTCAGAAATATGATCACGGAAAAATAATAACAGAAAAAGAAAAAGAAACAACTAGAAAAACAACAAGAAAAACAACAATAAAAACAACAACAAGCGCTGTCTAAATATCTACACATTATAGTATGGTTATTAAATTACAATTTCTAAGATAGTTGATCTAAATTACTTCAACTGATTGTTTACATTATATTGGCATTAAATTGTGAATATTACTTATACGTATACAATTAAGCATGTACTGCTGATATTTCATTGCTATAAGTATCCATATTATCTTCACTTGGTGTGACCTAAGGACCATGGATACATAACCATCTTCAACACAGACGGGTTGATTTCTTACCTTCACAAACCGTGCTCGATCCTGCAACAAACTTGAACCCGGCTTTACAGAAGCAGGTTTCAGTCCCATTCAGTACAGCACAATCAGTATTGGCGCCGCAGGAATTAGACGGGTCACACTGTTCTGATGCTAAAATTTGTAAATTACGAGACAGATTATTTAGGTCCATCACTGAATTTCATGGAAATATCAGTTTGTAAGGAACTATAATCACATATAAGTTTATCATATTTATTTTTACAAACATACACAAAATTCTTAATTCTAACACAATTAAACAAGTGTTTATGAAAAAGAAATGTTAAATAGTTTGTCAAGAAAATTGTTCAAAGGTCTGTTCTATCATCGTAACATTGTAATTTGGGGGTGATGTCTATTAAAGTCTATGTCAATATTGAAAATAAAGTGGCTTATTTTTTCTCCCCGAAATATCTCCCGTACGAAATTCCGAAAATCTGACATTTCGAAACCAAACATGTACATGTAATTAATACCGGTATATAAATATATATTAGTGACAGTAATAAGTTCATAGCTTTAAACTAATGAAGAATGATCAATTTATTTGATTGTTGATGTTTAATTGATGAATAGACTTGACTTAGTTATTAATTGTTTGAATACTCACGAATACACGTTTTTCGGTCGGAGAGATCAAGTTTGAAACCCTCTTCACATAAACATCTGTAGCTGCCTACAGTGTTGCTGCAGACCTGGGAACATTCGTTTTGTCCTTCACATTCATTAATATCTAATTATTAAAGAAAAATATACTCATATCATTTTTTCAGTATACATAATAACGGTATTATCTGGCAATACCAGAATTAATTTTGCACAAAACTCTCGCAATTATTTTACAAAATTTCAAAGAAATCAAAATTGAAAGTTTAAACTTGAAAAAAGAACATTTCCTCGATATCTTAAATCGGCCATAAAGCCGTTCTTCCATATGCATGTACTTGACAATACTGTGAGTAGTTGGCCCATCCTCCGTGTTTCTCTAAGATCTTTTAAGCGGCAATTTGACCAGGAGTAAAATAATCTTACTCACTAAACGCTTAATTTATAATTCAAACTATAGACCAATGACAAAATTGTTTGAAATAACACAACTTATTAAAAATGTGAAGAATTTACCATTGCAAGCGTTCCCGTCTTGTTGGAAGCCAGCATTACAGCTGCACTGGTAGCTGCCAGCCGTGTTTGTACAAATCTGACTACAGCCATTTAGACTAATGCTGGAACACTCGTTTATGTCTGAAGAAAAGATACAACATAGCTGAGTGAAAATAAACATTTCAGAGGTTAGGTCACATCATTCTTTTCACAATTTAAGTTGATAGTTGTGGCTAATATTTTAGTATAAACCTTAGCTTTCAATTTGTTAAGATAATAGGAAGGATTAAAATCAAATCAAATAATGCCTGATGGATGTCATACGGTTGATATTTTTTAGTCTAACTGTTGTTACTATTGATTTCATTCGAAGGTCTCAAATATTATGAAAATGTAGAATTGTTGAGAGAAATTTATAACATATGTACCGGGAAAAACATCTATAATCATGTAATATTCTTAAGATTAAAGTCAAATGAATTATACAGCATCTGCAAATATCCTAAACATAGTCAACTTCTATATTCATCTGACGCAAAAAACTTGCTCCACATGGATAAAATTTCAAAAACATGGACAACAAAATTATAAACAGTAAGTTGTGTGGCCATCTTACCTTTGCATATTCCATTTATATCTTTTTTATATCCCGTCTGACAGTCACACACATAAGAACCCGGTGTATTTATACACTGCACGTTGTCTCCCGTGCAGGGGAAAGTGGCACATTCATCTTTGTCAGCGTCACATTTGTCCCCGGTCCATCCGGCTTCACAAACACATCCGGTCACGGAGTCGCACGTGCTCGCACCAACTCCACAATTACAATCATTTGCACACCCCAGACCGTAGTGGAATGCATCACATTCTGTTGTAAATAAATAGAAAAGGTTAGTCCAGAAATCAAACACTAGAATAATAATTTCAATAGTCTTTAAAACTCTGCACAATAAAACAGAAATATAATTAAAAATATAAATATAGGTCAAAAGGTCATTTACCTTTGCATGTTCTCAAATCATTTTCAAGTTTAAATCCCGGACTGCACGAGCATTCGTACCCACCGTCTGAGTTTACACAAGTACCCGGATCACTGCATTCATTTAGATTAAGGCTTGCATCACATTCATTCACATCTGTAAAATAAATTACGATAGTGCTTTTTGCAAGACAATAACATCAACAGCAACAACAACAACAACAACAACAGCAGCAACAACATAACCTATTAACTACATTAACAGTGTACTTCAGATGTAACTATTCATGGTAAAATACGACTGATATAAATGACATAGACGACAGTTTCTTCGCGAATGCCAAAACGTCATGATTTGTGTGCTTGGTAGTTGTTAAATATACGGAAAGTGTTCATAAAAAAATATCAATGGTGCACTGAACTACACAAAAACTAACTTTTGAGTGCGGAAACACCAAGCAATCAAATAAGACAAAGTGGGAAAAGATGAAGTCCTACGGGAATTGCCCTTCAGATAAAATATAGAAATCTAAATCATCTTAGACTTACCAATACATGTTTGTTTATCTGCTCCTAGAGTATACCCGGTGCTACAGAGACACTGAGGGGCCTGGTCTACCACTATACAAATATCCGAACAATTTGTATCCGGAAATAAGGTACATGGATCTGAAACTGTTCAAGAAATCAAAATGACACTTCCGGTTTCATTGGAAGGAAATTATCTCATTCAGAAACTCAGAATTCATTTGAAAAAAAAACAAAGCAAAACAAAACACAAATTCTTCAAACATTATGAACATTAAAGAAACAAAATGAATTATTAATCAGTCATTGGTGACAAATGTAATAAAAATCATGTTTGGGTAGATACAATGTTTTTAGCACATTTTTTTTTAATTTTTGTTTTATTTACCAGATGTAAATCCACATTATCATGTTTCAACAATCTGTTACATCTCTATGCTGAATCTGAATAGTAACAAAAATAAGCAGACTGAGAAAAGACAAGAAGTAGAATTAAAATAATACCTTTTGTGCACGTTTTCCTGTCAGAATTGAGTAGAAAACCAAAATAACATTCACAGGTAAATCTTCCCTCAGCATTTCTACAAATCTGTTCACATCCGGACACATCCGCCGTACATTCATCAAAATCTGCCAAAATAAACGTTAAAATTATATTAGCCGTGTCACGACAACACCGCGCATCCGCGCAGTCTGATCAGGATCCATGCTGTTCGCTATCAGTTTCTCTACTTGTAATAAAGTTGGTAAGTGAACAGCATGGATCCTGATCAGACTGCGCGGATGCGCAGGCTGGTCTGGATCCATGCTGGTCACAAACGCACTATGTTGATTTTGTAGTGACGCGACTCAAGCATCGATGATCTATTTTCAAACTGATCTCGCTCTGAGACAGAAATATGATTTTACTTAACTCTTAAGCCAGCTTGCTTGGAATTACATTCTATGTTTTTAGACATTGATACAAAGTTTCCTTGGCCTGAGTGTTGTAATATCTTTCTGGGCCTTTGGGATCATTGATTCCATTACCTTATTGTGTTTCAGATAGAATGCCGCTTCAACCGATGCTAGGTGTCGTAAGATACTTTCCATCTTTCATTTTCACTTACGAACAGACTCAATCAAACTGAGACTGTATTTTCAGCTGTAACTTGCAAGTTGTTTTTTTTTATTGTCCTGTGATATCCCCTTTTCAAGACTTTATATCCCCTTTTCAAGACTTACAGTTAAAGGCTCTTTTCATTTAATGAATTTGTAGCCGTAAGTAAACAACCTTCATAGATTGTTAAAAAAAAACGCTCGCAGTTATTAATTTTGTTCCGCTTCTCATCAAGGGGCGGTATTTAAATGGCAATTTTTAAAACTGATTGATATTGATATAAAAAAACAACAAAAAAAAACACACAAAAAATCGCAGTGAAATCAGGTTTACATACCAACACATTTATTTGGGTCAGACGGATCCACATTATACCATTGCCGACAACTGCACGTGAAACCACCCAGTGTATTTGTGCACACCTGGTCACAAACATTTAACGCATCGTCATTACATTCATCAATGTCTGAAAAAAAGTAAAAGATTTTGATATGTATCCAATAAATTACTTTCGTTTTATTTGTGCAAACATGTTGAAAGATATCCACCAGTAATCATTAAGATAACAAAAGATTTGTCCAACTCTTAAATCAAACTTATTGTCCATGCACTCTACATAACTCACTTTACAGCTCCATATGTTATAAAGTTCGATTGTTGAAAATGACTGTATTTTGCTGAACTAGCGATATTCATGTTTGATAACTTACCGGTGCATGTTCCATTGATGGAAACAAATCCCGTACGACACGTGCATTTATATGAACCAATAGTATTATTGCACACTTTATTCTCGTCACCGCAGACGTTGGGAACCAGACACTCGTCCACATCTATGTCACATCTGGTTCCGGTCCATCCAGCCTTACAGATACAGCCCTGAACCGGGTCACAGCGGCTTGAACCACGCCCACATTCACAAGTCTTGGCGCAATTTGCTCCGTAATTTGGGAACACGCATGCTAAAGTGAAAATAATATATTAAAGTCAACTATCAACACAGAAGATTCAGCTGAATGTATTTGTTTTTTTATAATAATGTCTTTTAACGGTAACTTAATATGACTTTAATTTCTTTTTTTTCTTTTGAAAGTATTTAATGTTTCGTAACGAACGAAATGCTCCGTTAACGTTTCCAACGGACCTCTTTTCACCAGTTTGAACACTGCTACTGTGTATTATCGCATGGTTTGGAACTTTTCCTTTGTTCTTACTAACACATTATACGCAGTACACTTCAGTGAGCATTTGAAAACTGTATTGATATATAACAGTACAGTTTTTTCATTGAATCATATAGGGAAAAAACTCGACTGTTATATATCAGTCGAGTTTTTTTCGCACCTTGTATAAATCAATACAGTTTTTTTTTCATAGAGGCTCCAATGGGGGCATTGGTAACGACCATTCCCAGTAGCAAAAATAAATAAATAAATAAATAAATGGAATAAATAAGATAAAATAAATATATAAATACAATGAAAAATATAAACAAAGATAATTAATGAAATGAAATGTACTCTGATTTAATCAAAAGGTACATCCGCTGAATGAATTATTTCCTCTGAAAAAAGCCCTTTAACCTGGAATCAATCTTGGTAACAACATTGGATGTCTTTTGTATATTTTTCTTGCGGCAGCGAAAACAACTTGAAAAAACTGCCTTATCATAAATAACGTTAACTGTAATGTAGCTAATGATTTATTTATTTATTTATTTCTATTACAAAAAAGAAAACATTATGTCATTGCGATAAAACAGTTATAGTATATGAAACTCGTTAGTTACGGGGGTATAACACTGACTGGGGTGACATCTCGGGATGTTTCTGCAAAAAAATTGTCTCGGCCTAACGGCCTCGACATTTTTTAACAGAAACACCCCTTGATGTCGCCCCAGCCAGTGTTATATCCTCGTAACTAACTCGTTTCATGTACTATAACTATTACATATGATATCGGAGTCTGTGTTTTTGTTGTATAATGTTCACATTTTTACAGCTTGATTTCTTGCACAATTAACATATACAAAGAAGTTTATATACCTTCACATGACACCTTATCGTCTTGTAACTTGAAACCCGTATAGCAGCTACACGAATAACTGCCGACAGTATCCGAACATGATTGTGAACACACCCCTGTAGTGCACTCATTAATATCTGAAAAACATAATAAAATCGTGTACATCTCTTCACATAGTTTCTCTGGGTACATCATACACCGGGTATAACTAACGGTAGTGTATAACGAACATCGGATATACCGACAGTATGTTCGAGATACACCGATTTTACCGAACGGTAAGTAGAAAGTAGCTTTCACCGTCATTTTAATAGCCATTGCTATTATATATTTGTTTTTTTTTAATGATTAATTTATAATAGTTTTATGTAATATACATGTATGTTTTTGCGTAACGCTACCTTGAGATTAGTTTAACAAAAACGATACAAATGCACACAATGTTATTATGAAGTAATTTCCATTTCAGGCTCTTTTGCAGTAAGCAAATGCATTCAGCATGTTCAGGAATAATTAATGTTCAGGACCCTAAAAACTTACACAAATATTTCTGATAATATATATACATATTCAATACAGTCCCATTTGACCTATTGCACGAAATTCTATAAGTGAATAATTTGCCTGTTTATATAAAACAAAGTGTAAAATATACGTTATGTTTTCAGAGTAATAATCAAAGATGACTACTTACTGTCACAAGTGTTGTCATTTTGAAGTTGAAATCCGCTGTTACAAAAACACACTGGGGAGTTTGTGTCATTCAAAGTACATCCGGCCGCTTTGGAACAGTCAATTGTATCACACCCAACTGGTTCCACAGCATCTGATTATTTTCAACAAACGTATGTTGTTTTAGAATAATTTTTATTATGACGGCAGAAATTCTGACTGAGAAAGGAAAGAAGTGACACTGAGAAAAGAAAGAGGAGAAAAAAGAGCATAGACAATATTGTTTTGCTGTTGATTTTCATCTTGGCTCCGAGTGGCAAATATCACATTGTCGGATTTTTTGTTGAGCTAACAGTTCTGACCACACCAGTGACATAGATATATCTAATATTCCTGACCACATATTTGACCTTAGACATATATATATAATTTGCCATTTTGACAATTATTAAAAAAGAAACATACATGTATATTTAATTATATTTTACTACTCTCATAACAAACCTTTATCACAGTTTGAAGTTGCAACATTTAATGTATAGCCAGGGAAACAAGAGCAGACGAAACTTCCCGCGTTATTTGTACAAATCTGCTGACAGCCGCTTGTTGATTCCTCACATTCATTGATATCTGAAACATGATGATAGCATATACATTTTTTAGCCTGCTTGAACAAAAGGTGACCAGTATAGAGCCAGGAGTCCCTACACAACCGTGTCGTCTGACCAGGCTCTATACTGTTGACTGTTTATTTTTTTGTATTTTGGTACTAAAATTCCTTTAACTTCGAATAGAATGTAACATATTCAAACCGAAACAATCTGATATACAATTCCACAGGTTGATTAAGGACTAATTTATCCGTATACTCAAAACATTTTGGACGGTATATTTTATTAAATGTTGTGCAAATTCTAAAAAGTTAAACAAAATGATCTATTCCTGTGATCTTGGAACATATTTCAATGAAATATGGCATAGATATAATAGACATACGCCATATGTATACAACTTGGCAATTGTCAATTTCGAAATTAAACAGCTATCATAATAAAATAGATTGACAGCATGAGTTGATTCAATACTAGAATAGCAATCAAAACAAACTTTTTCATTTGTCCGCAAGACGCTTACTTGTCAACAAAAACTACTACCGATAGATAAAAAACATTTACTCAGATTATGTGTAACCTCTCATTCAAAATATTCAGAAAATATTAATGGGATACCTATGCAACTTGTTCCGTCCTGTGCCAAACGGAAACCGCTGTTACACTGACAGTAATAACTTCCGGCGGTGTTCACACACTTTTGAGAACACACTGTTTCATTATTACACTCATTTATATCTGAAAAGTAATAAAATATTTGTCTTTCTGTGCATGAAAACTTATAATAAAATACCATCGTAGTTATAGTAACCAATAAATGTAGTAACAAATGAAGATAATCCGGTACAGAGAGCTCTACTTATGAACATATTATAAACGTTCGCTTAACGTCTTATAAACGTCCGTTTAACTTCTTATAAATGTCCCTTTAATGTCTTATAAACGTCCAATTTACGTCTTATAAATGTCCATTTTATGTCTTATAAACGTCCATTTAACGTCTTATAAACATCCATTGAACGTCTTATAAACGTCCATTTAACGTCTTATAAATGTCCATTTAACGTCTTATAAATGTCCATTTATCGTCTTATAAATGTCCATTTATCGTCTTATAAATGTCTATTTAACGTCTTATAAATGTCCATTTAACGTCTTATAAATGTCTATTTATCGTCTTATAAATGTCCATTTAATGTCTTATAAATGTCTATTTAACGTCTTATAAACGTCCATTTAACGTCTGTCATTATCTTATCAAGTTCAAATAATAAATATGTTAAATATACGTAAATATCAAGAAACCAATAATAACTTTATTTAAAGTCAAAATAACGTAAATCATCCTTATAGTGGTACCTTCACATTTATCCTGGATATCTTGATATCCGGTCGGGCACGGGCTGCACGTGTAAGCCTTCAAGGACGGGTTGGCTTTGTGTTCATCTGCGGGTCTGTCAGTGCATGTACGGTTCACCGAGCAAGGGTTAACTTCACATCCGTCAAAGTCAAGCTCACAGTCAATTCCTGATCAGATATTTTCGAATTATTATTAACATAAAAAGTATACAGAGGGAATGCGAGTTAGAACTGGCAGGCATAAATAAAAAGTGTAAAAGATTTTTTTATTTGAAACACACACACAAAAAAATGAATAAAAATAAAATAGATAAAAATAAAACTTATCTGGTTTGATACTGTTAACACATTGCTAGTAATTTTGAACTCATTCTGTTATTTTAACGTACTCAGCACTGCAATTATAAATACATAAAGCTACATTTACACATTTAAAAATTTATCACCGCGTAAAGCTTTTATAACATTTTGAGGTGTAATGGGCCTTTCAGGCGTGTAAATAGTCTCTTACCTGTCCAGTACGGTTCACAGATGCACGTAGCATACTTGAAACCATCGGTAGATCTAACATCCTCCCTGATAACGTCATTATCACACGAACCGTGACTATTACATCCGGTGCAAAGTACGACAACAATGTCAACGACAGGGGCCTTAACTCCACGGTCATCAGTAGCTGTTACGCTGAAGTAAGAACAATGTGAGCCGCGTCACGACAAAACCAACATAATGGGTTTGCGACCAGCATGGATCCAGACCAGCCTGCGCGGACAGCCTGCGCATCCGCGCAGTCTGATCAGGATCCATGCTGTTCGCTTACCAACCCTATTACAAGTAGCTAAACTGATAGCGAACAGCATGGATCCTGATTAGACTGCGCGGATGCGCAGGCTGGTCTGGATCTATGCTGGTCGCAAACCCATTATGTTGGTTTTGTCATGACACGGCTCATGTATGTTAAATCCAGCATTGTCTTCCCTATCACTCTTTTACTCTGAAGCTAAATTGCTCATAGATATATATATTTATTACATGTTTTGTAGTAGATTACTGAATTATAACGGTTAATTATATTCTGATAATTTCGCAGTAATGATTACCAAATATAATTTCACAGTAGCCGAACTATATTTGGCGTAAAAATAAAATATTTATCATTAATGAATGTTTTTTTTAGCGGAAATGTAGTCAATCATAATAAAAAATGTACGTGATAACTGTAGTTCGTAAATATTTACGAACGTTGTGCTGAAAAACATCTAAAATCTAAAAATAATCATGGAATTATATTTTGCTTCAACATTGTGACGTCATTATTTGATGACGTCATGAAGATAAGAGCATGACGTTACGCGGCAAAAATCAGTAAAATGGTGTAAAAATCGTTAAAAAATCATGAAATAAACAGAAAATTTGTTTGTTTTACATGTAAGATCAAATAATATTTCACTCGTGAACCCCAGCTATTATATTTTCACTCGTGGCTACGCCACTCGTGGAAAATATTGCATCTGGTGTTCACTCGGTGAAATATTTTTCGATCTTACACTGAAACAAACAAATATCCTCTATATATTCACTTTCTAACTATTTACGTTAAAGATAAATAATAATTTTGACCACAGTCCTTGTCTGTTTGTAGCATATTAAATTTTACCGAATTGTTAAGTTAACAATGAAATACCTAACGTAAACTGGATCCGTGTTTTGAATAAGGACGTTGACGTCGACCGTTCCGTCATTACTCGGTGTACCGAGACTGGCTTCTGCTGTCGTGTTGACAAACTCATACGTTAACGTGCCGTCATCTGTGCCGAGAAGCGTAAACGTAGAAACTTTATTGACGTCAGTATATAGGTAATTACGTCCGTCTACGGTCTTTGTCCCGCTGTTTATTGTGACGTTAGGCGAGATATTTGCTGGAAAATGAAAAAAAATTCACTTCGTTACATGAAAAAAAATAAGAATAAAGTAATGCATCTTTTACTATAAATGAAAAACAACTGAAACGAAATAATATCATTATAAATTATATGCTATTTAGTACAATATATTTATCTGCTATCAAGACAGTGACAGGATATTCATTTTTCAACTTTGAACGGATTTTACACATGAATTGTTCTATTTTCTTTCTTCTTTTTTTCTTCCTAAATCAAATATTTGATTGTAATCCATAATGTTTTAAATAACTATGCTTCATAAGCAGACACACCATTTCGCATATCAGAACGGCTTCGATAATGAAAATAGAAGATTTAGATTTAGATACATATTTATGCATGCATAGCAAAAACATGCAAATGAGGATACCAGCATCTTTTAAAAGTTAAAAACACATACCTGCATCAGCATTATTTTCAGAAGCTTGATCTTCTGTCGCAGTTGTCGCCAATGCTAAATCAGAATTTCCAGTAAAAACGTAGTCGAATATACACTGATTTTTGCCCTCGCCGCAAAGTGACGTTGCTTCCGTCACGAGGGTTTCATTAGCCTCGTCTAGAAATTTCGGTACGAAAGTTGGGAAGCTGTAGTCACTATGCGACTTACCGTTGTCATATTTGAAGATTGACTGGGCCGCAGAAGTTAACCCTATTAAGAAATAATAAATAAATAAATAAATAAGAAAGAATGTCTTTGTCTACATGTTAAATGTTTTATGTACGTGCCTGCTGGCATTCTGCAATGTATAACATACTATTCGGTTGCTATGGTAACAAATCTAACTGAATGAGTGTTTCAGCATTGCAAGAAATACCATTAACCATTGAAGTCAAATGAAAATAGACTAAGAGATTCTGTCCTCTATTTTATTATGAATCCAATACTTAAAATAATATTAAATTTAAATTTTGATTTATTAAAATAATTATTTACATGTCTGCCCAAAGTTTTCGAAAATTTGCCTCTCCGAAGCCGAGTTTTGTAGAGCTGTCCCTGCATTTCGAGGTACAAGGTCGTCTGCATCATTTCCATTAAAGTTGCCTAGCAACCCACGTGTCAATGATTCATATTCGTCGTTCATACCTATACTCATCTGTAGAAGACCAATTCCTATAGTAACATTGAACGCTACGCCTGAAAGTTTAATCAATATGTACCATTGTTAAAACCAATAATGTAACAAGAAATCACAGTTTTAAATCACCTGAGATATAAACATGTCGTTAAACTACGGATTACAACATTTCTACGGGGCAATTTATTGTAATCAAATTGCATTCTTGTTACTTTAAAACAGACATAACAATGGGCGTTTAAGAATGTAACTGTTAAATTGATATTAATCTAGCTTTATATGATACTGCAGTCATATCAATTTACTTACCTGTTTCTGCGAAACTTGTCACAAGCGTGTTATTATCACGACTCATACTAAGACTGTCTGTCACGTACGAGAAACTGACACTATTGTCGTAAAAATATGATGTATAATCCGCCCAGTTTGTCTTATTAGAGCCGGCAAACAGATTAATTCCAGTTTTATCGTTATTAATTTCAACTTGAAGCCAAGCTCCAGTAGACTCGATGGCGAACGCTGTAAAAATAGTGGCTTCTGACGCAGAACCATCGGACTTTTCCGCGCGATCTGTACGACTTTGAATTTGGAAATCAGCAGACGATATCTGAAGGAGAACATATTCGCCATGACCGTTGAAGGTGTACGTCCGTCCATCTAACGTAGCAATATGAGGATCTCCGAAACCTCCACCTGTCATAAAAAGTACACATGTATTGAACATGCACTTTTAATACTTTTCTTTTGATCTGATTTCTTGTTACCAAAACATTATATGCCGCTTTTTTAACATTTTTTCTTTCATGCAAGCTTTGTTACATTATATATAATTTTAATAGCATAATCTTCACTTTACTCCACGACAAGCTCAATTGAATGAATACGAGCGTGGCAGATTCGTGTCACGAGTTATTGTGGCATTTTCCCATGGGCCTGACTTCACGCCCGTTCTGCCACATTATGTAAATTGGTATGCTGAATTTGAAATAAAACGGATTCTGATTAATGGAAAATATGTAAGTGCTGAGTTAAGATATATTCAAAATATACATTGTCACATTGTATTACAATGCTAGGTCGTTTGCAAGATAAAGAGTTTCGACAACATAAAACATAGCAACATACCAAATCTGAATGGAAACGTGGAATAGCAGTTATGTGTGGGTCTGACATCATAATAAAGGTCACAAAGGTCAGATTGATCGCAGCAGACGTTCTTGTAGACGGTGTCCTGAAGTGAGTGTTGTCTGCTATTTATTAGTTCGTTGTAAGCGTTGAATGATCCAGCATTTCTTCCCGAACCAATGAAGCTCCGGGTGAAAGCGCTATACGTACATGTCTGAGCAGTAAGGAAAAAATGTACATGTATGTTTTCTTTAGACGCCACGAACATAACTAAGCACATCAAATATAATATTTAACAATGCTATCTGTAATGTTAAAGGTCCATTATTTTCACTGTTATCTTTATTAATTGACTTTAAAGACGTTCTTCCACGAGTGACCATACAGTTTCTCTTTTATAAGTAAGGTTATATAGGAATTCGAAAAAAAGTATCAGTTTCTTTAAAGATGTTATAAAATAGTACGTGTCTATAACTAACTAACTGGCCGTTACAGTTTTATTGAATTCTAGATTTATACCTTCCCATACGGCGCATAGTCTCTCCTCGGGGAAACTGGAACTGTGAAAGTGTTTTCATTTAAATCAAAAGACAGAAAGCCAAGGCTAAAGCGCCTATCGAACACCAGGAATAAAGCCGCGCATGGGCATTGAGGCATCTTGTCAAGTTCAGCTCTGTAAGAAGCAATTCGGGATTTCTCTGATTTGTGCCATTTCTGGCATTTCATGCGATAGTTTTCCTTGCCTTCTTCTTCCTCGTCTGATGTTAGTTGGAAGGTTGCAGTCCCTTTGTAAGCTGTGAGTGAGACACGTATATGAATATAAGATACTATGTAAATTGACAATAAGCTAACAATGTACATATACGGTACGGTTCGGTCTTGTTCTTACCTTTGAACATCCTTATATGACGTTTTCTAATTATAGATTAATACATGTATACTAATCACTTTTTCAGAGTATTATTAAATTAAAAGGTTAAGTGCTCGTGTTTTGTGTTGTCGTCAAATAAGTATCTGTTACATTATAGGATTCTTGTTCAATTTACAGACTGACAAGTGATAACACATTAATTTACATATAAGAAAGGGCAAATAACATTCATCGCCAAAACGTGTAACGTTTGAAGAAGATCTATCAAAATCATGTATTTTTTACAAGAACAAAGCAGGCTTCCATAACTTGAAAGTATAAGCGTTTCTAGATACCCAGGTGCGGAGAATTACATTTTTATATTCTTGAAATGTCAGAGTAATGAATGGCTGAGTCCAAAGGAACCTGACGTCTAATATCCCCATTCAAACATTCTTATATCTATAATAAACATTGTATTTATTATATATATGGGGTGGGTAAGGGGGTGTGTTACATGTCAGGCACCTGTGTTTGAGTCTACATATTACTTACGTTCTAAAATGAGGTTGACGTCAGGTCTACGGAGGTAAGAGCCATCTGGGCTATCAGTGAACCCTTCAGCAGCGCCGTCTACCAGAATTCCGATGAACTGGGGATCGGTTAGAAAGTTCATACCATCAGGTTCATAGCTATAGAAAGTGTAAGCACTTAAGCCATTTGTCACGTAGATTGCTTGAAAAGTCACCGTCTGAAATAAATTATTATTAGAGTACATCTAAATTGAACATACGAAGTATGAAATTATCATAACAACACATATAATTATCATAAGAGTACACTAAATGAATATAAGAGCACATTGAATTAATATAACAGTACATTGAATTAGCAGAAGAACACATTTAATTAGCATAAAAGCACTTAAATTAGCATAAAAACGCTAATACTTCAGAATGATACGATATAAGACAAACATGTACATCTAATATAAGTCATATTTGTTATTTCATAAGTTACAAACATTCACTTTTCAATTCATGCAAAATGCATTTAAATAAGATTCATACAATTGGATGGTGAAAGCAAGTTTTAATCTGAGCTCATGCTCTTTACTAACAACGTGAATTCTTAAAAAAAAATATAGCTTAAACAATCATGATAGTTGCCCGGTTTGTTTAAACTAAATTGTACAAAACAATGAATGTTTTTCTAACAATAATATAGTATTAATGAATATTGAATGCTGCATAAGTCGATGCTGGGGGGGGGGGGGGGGGTTGGAAGATGATGTGAATAAAATCTGTATCGTACGGAAAAGTCCTGTCTCAAAATCACGTTAATGATCCATAAAATATTTCCTAATCACAAAAGGGTCTAAATCTTTATACTTTAAAACTCCTGTAAAAGCGATGGTAAATCCTAATTAGACTTTAAATTTTCCTATTTATCCTTTTCAAAACTTCTTCTTTTACAAATTAATAATTAGGCTTATATTTCGCCAAATAAAACCGTTAGCGCTTTATCGTGTTGCCGCTAGCGACAAGACGAAAAGGCGATAACGATATAGGTTGCGTTGTCGCCATCGAGAACGCAACGCGCAATGTACAAAATCAGCCACCATATTTAATAGAATCTGTACTCTAAATATCAGGGAAACAAAACTCGTATCGCTTACCTCGTTGTTACTGCCATATCTTGGCGCTTTTTCCCATGTTACTTTTAATATATAAACAGGACTGTAATCTAGCCCGTAAATGTTCGACATTAGTTCTTTTACTGTTGTGAATACATCGCTACTTTCCGAAACATCCTCTCGTATAGCATCATAAGCCTGGTACAATATTTTACCGGTGTCTCGCATATCTAGATCAGCGAAATAGGGTGCCAGACAATAGATATTACGTAAGTCGGAGCTGGTCTCGCCATTTATTGGAATAGTGTAACTCTCATAACGCTTATTAAAGCAAACAAGTCCGTTTGCACACACCTAAAATACAGCATAAATACATATATATATACATGTATATAAAGAAAATCGCTATCTAGAATTTCTAAAACTTCTTTTATTATGTTTCCATCACGCCAGTAATTAGACCTTTGGGGAATTACCTTAAAAAAATTAGTATCTCTTTCGGACCAACCCGTATGTACATTCTGATTGCCGTTAAACTGTGTTACTATATCATTTAAAAATATTTAATACAATTGATTATTTAATATTGATTCAGCGTTCTAAATAATAATTACAAAGTAAAATAACGTACGTATATGTTCCTGAACGATTGTGTTTTGAAAGGAACGTCATATGACGTTTTAAGTTTAACGTTACACTCGTCATCAGTACCCGTCGAGATGCTGTCACCTTCTCCCGCACCGTAACCAAGACGTAAACCTTCAAACAAGATATAAAACTAGAATCTTCGATGTTTATGTAAAGAATCAAGATGAGACAGAAACCAAAATAAGATAAATAACTGTACAAGACAAATATTTTTAACTATAACTGATTTGATATGAATATTATAAAGGAGTGTTAATGAAACAATATTTATTTAATAGATGTATAATGGACAGGTACGAATTGTTAATAAACTTGTAATTCAAAAACGGTTGTCAATGTATTGAATATTGTCAAGAACAGAAAAAGATATGACACTTCATAAAAATATTCTAACCTGTAATATACGACTGTGGTGTTGTTGGTGCGACAGTTGTATCAGCAACTGTCGTTGTTGGTGCGACAGTTGTATCAGCAACTGTCGTTGTTGGTGCGACAGTTGTATCAGCAACTGTCGTTGTTGGTGCGACAGTTGTATCAGCAACTGTCGTTGTTGGTGCGACAGTTGTATCAGCAACAGTCGTTGTTGGTGCGACAGTTGTATCAGCAACTGTCGTTGTTGGTGCGACAGTTGTATCAGCAACAGTTGTTGTTGGCGCTGCAGTTGTATCAGCAACAGTTGTTGTTGGTGCGACAGTTGTATCAGCGACAGTTGTTGTTGGTGCGACAGTTGTATCAGCAACTGTCGTTGTTGGTGCGACAGTTGTATCAGGGACAGTTGTTGTTGGTGCGAGAGTTGTATCAGCAACTGTCGTTGTTGGTGCGACAGTTGTGTCAGCAACTGTCGTTGTTGTTGCGACAGTTGTATCAGCAACTGTCGTTGTTGATGCGACAGTTGTATCAGCAACAGTTGTTGTTGACGCTGCAGTTGTATCAGCAACTGTCGTTGTTGGTGCGACAGTTGTATCAGGGACAGTTGTTGTTGGTGCGACAGTTGTATCAGCAACTGTCGTTGGTTGGTGCGACAGTTGTATCAGCAACTGTCGTTGTTGGTGCGACAGTTGTATCAGCAACTGTCGTTGTTAATGCGACAGTTGTATCAGCAAACAGTAGTTGATGGTGCGACAGTTGTGATCCAGCAACAGTAGTTGATGGTGCGACAGTTGTATCAGCAACAGTAGTTGTGGGTGCGACAGTTGTATCAGCAACTGTTGTTCTCGGTGCCACAGTTGTATCAGCAACAGTAGTTGTTGGTGCGACAGTAGTATCAGCGACAGTTGTTTTTGTTCCGATAGTTGTATCCGCAACAGTTGTTGTTAACCCAGCAGTTGTATCAGCGACTGTCGTTGTTGGCCCGACAGTTGTATCAGCAAACTGTTTGTTGTTGGTCCTGCAGTTGTATCAGCAACTGTCGTTGTTGGCCCGACTGTTGTTAATCAGCATCAGTTTTTGTCGAACCGACAGTTGTATCGGAAACAGTTGTTGTTGGTTGGACAGTTGTATCAGCTACAGTAGTTGTTGGTGCAACAGTTGTATCAGCGACAATAGTTGTTGTTGCGACAGTTGTATCAGCAACCAGTAGTTGTTGGATGGACAGTTGTATCAGCTACAGTCGTTGTTGGTCCGACAGTTGTATCAGCACACTGTAGTAGTTGGTTTGACAGTTGTATCAGCTACAGTAGTTGTTGGATTGCAACACGTTGTATCAGCGACAATAGTTGTTGTTGCGACAGTTTGTATCAGCAACAGTAATTGTTGTTTGCGTTGGTTACAGTTGTATCAGCTAACAGTATTGTTGTGGTCCGACAGTTTGTATCAGCTACGGTGTTGTTTGGTGCGAACGGTATGTATCAGGCAACGGGTTGTTGTGGCTGCGACAGTTTGATCCAGCGACTAGTAGTTTGGACATGGGCAGTTTCGACAGCTTGTATCAGATTAGTACTTGTTGTTGGTCGGACAGTTGTATCAGCTACAGACGTTTGATGGTGCAACAGTTGTATAAGCGACTGTCGTTGTTGGTGCCACAGTTGTATTCCGAGACAACTGTTGGTTGTTGGTCCATGCAGGTTGTACTCAGCAAACTGTCGTTGTTGGCCCGACTGTTGTATTCAGTGTTAAGTCGAACGACGTGTATCGGAAACAGTTGTTGGGTTGGTTGCGACAGTCTGTATAGCGCAGGGTTTTTTTTTTTTGATTTTGTTTATCTGCAACAGATTTGTTTCCCGACAGTTTATCACACTGTTTTTGTTGGTCCCATGTATCAGCAACATGTCGTTGTTGGTCCGACAGTTGTAAACAGCAACGTAGTAGTTGTTGGACAGTTGTATCAGCTAACAGTAGTGTTGTTCCCCAGTGCAGTAAGTTATTTTACAGTTGTATCAGCGACAGTATTTTTTAGTATGTTGAGTTTTGCTAAAGGACAGTTTTGTTTGCATTTATCAGCCAACGGGGTTCAGTACGGTTTTGTTGGTGCGACAGTTGTAATCAGCTACAGGGTTTTTTTTCGACATTTTATCAAAAAAGTTGTTTTTTCCAAAAATTTTTCGACACAGCCTAATTTATCAGCAATTTGTTTTGGTCCTGCATTGTTCAGCAACAGTTTTTTTTGGGGCGCAGTTACACAACGTCTTTTGATGCACAGTTTTATCCCAAAAAGTGTTGGGTTGATGGACGTTGGGGATAAAACTTGGGGTTGGTGGGGGAAAATTTTATCAGCAAATGCGTTGTTGGCGACGGATAGGGGGAATGTTCGTTGTTGGTGCGCTTGTATCACAACAGAGTTGTGGTGCGACAGTTGTATAAACGTTTTGTTGGTGGGGCAGTTTGTATAGGGAGTTGTTGTGGGGGCAAAATTTTATCAGGAAAGTGTTTTTTTGGGCGCAGTTTTATCACAGTTTTTGGTGCAACAGTTGTACAGCGACAGTTTTTTGTTGGTCCGCAGTTTTAAGCAGCATGTTGTGGGGCAACAGTTTATAGGACAGTTGTTGTTGGTCCGGCAGTTGAAAGCAACTGTCGTTTTTGGGCGACAGTGTACAGGGCATTTTTTTTTTTTGGAAGGGGGGGGGGGGGGGGGGGGGGGGGGGGGGGGGGGGGGGGGGGGGGGGGGGGGGGGGGGGGGGGGGGGGGGGGGGGGGGGGGGGGGGGGGGGGGGGGGGGGGGGGGGGGGGGGGGGGGGGGGGGGGGGGGGGGGGGGGGGGGGGGGGGGGGGGGGGGGGGGGGGGGGGGGGGGGGGGGGGGGGGGGGGGGGGGGGGGGGGGGGGGGGGGGGGGGGGGGGGGGGGGGGGGGGGGGGGGGGGGGGGGGGGGGGGGGGGGGGGGGGGGGGGGGGGGGGGGGGGGGGGGGGGGGGGGGGGGGGGGGGGGGGGGGGGGGGGGGGGGGGGGGGGGGGGGGGGGGGGGGGGGGGGGGGGGGGGGGGGGGGGGGGGGGGGGGGGGGGGGGGGGGGGGGGGGGGGGGGGGGGGGGGGGGGGGGGGGGGGGGGGGGGGGGGGGGGGGGGGGGGGGGGGGGGGGGGGGCGGCAGTTTAAACAGCAACGTTGTTATTGGCCGCAGTTTTACAGAACAGTTAGTTGTTGGTGCGACAGTTGTATCACTCTACAGTAGTTGTTGGTGGCAGTGTATCAGCACGTTGTTTGATCAGCGTATCAGGACATAGTTGATGGTGCTGACAGTTGTATCAGCGACAGTTGTTGTTGGTCCGACAGTTGTATCAGCAACTGTTGTCGTTGGTCCTGCAGTTTTATCAGCAACTGTCGTTGATGATCCGACAGTTGTATCACCAACAGTTGTTGTTGGCGCTGCAGTTGTATCAGCAACTGTCGTTGTTGATGCGACAGTTGTATCAGAGACAGTTGTTGTTGGTGCGACAGTTGTATCAGCAACTGTCGTTGTTGGTGCGACAGTTGTATCAGCAACTGTCGTTGTTGGTGCGACAGTTGTATCAGCAACTGTCGTTGTTGGTGCGACAGTTGTATCAGCAACAGTAGTTGATGGTGCGACAGTTGTATCAGCAACAGTTGTTGTTGGTGCGACAGTTGTATCAGCAACAGTCGTTGTTGGTGCGACAGTTGTATCAGCAACAGTAGTTGATAGTGCGACAGTTGTATCAGCAACAGTAGTTGTTGGTGCGACAGTAGTATCAGCGACAGTTGTTTTTGTTCCGATAGTTGTATCCGCAACAGTTGTTGTTAACCCAGCAGTTGTATCAGCGACTGTCGTTGTTGGCCCGACAGTTGTATCAGCAACTGTTGTTGTTGGTCCTGCAGTTGTATCAGCAACTGTCGTTGTTGGTGTGACTGTTGTATCAGCAACAGTTGTTGTCGAACCGACAATTGTATCGGAAACAGTTGTTGTTGGTTGGACAGTTGTATCAGATACAGTAGTTGTTGGTGCAACAGTTGTATCAGCGACAATAGTTGTTGTTGCGACAGTTGTATCAGCAACAGTAGTTGTTGGTTGGACAGTTGTATCAGCTACAGTCGTTGTTGGTCCGACAGTTGTATCAGGAACAGTAGTAGTTAGTTTGACAGTTGTATCAGCTACAGTAGTTGTTGGTGCGACAGTTGTATCATCTACAGTAGTTGTTGGTGCGACTGTTGTATCAGGTCAGTAGTTGTTGTTTGGACAGTTGTATCAGCAAGAGTTGTTGTTGGCCCACCGGTTGTATCAGCAACGGTTGTTGTTGGTGCGACAGTTGTATCAGCGACAGTAGTTGTTGTTTCGACAGTTGTATCAGATATACTTGTTGTTGGTCCAACAGTTGTATCAGCGACAGTTGTTGTTGGTCCGACAGTTGTATCAGCAACTGTTGTTGTTGGTCCTGCAGTTGTATCAGCAATTGTCGTTGTTGGTGCGACAGTTGTATCAGCAACAGTAAGTTGATGTGCGAACCGACGTTTGTAGTCAGCAAAAAGTTGCTTAGTTTGGTGGTGCGTCAGTTTTTCTAGGAACTGTCGTTGTTTGGTGCGTACAGTTGTATCACGACAAAGGTTGTTTGGACGTTGTTAAACCAAAAAGTAGTTGCGACTGAATTGTATCTAGGGACAGTGTATTGTTGGTCCGCAGTACAGCAACAGTTGTTTTACAGTGTATCAGCTACAGTACGTTGTGAGGCGCACAGTTGTATCCAGGACACTAGTCGTGTTCGGTGCGCAGTTTGTATTCAGCCAACAGTTGTTGTTCGGTTGCGACAGTTTATCAGTACTAGTTGTATCAGGGCGACAGTTCAAAGGTTGTATGGTGCGACCAGTTGTATTCAGACAGTTGTATGTTGGTGCGAACAGTTGTATTCAGCGAAGTTGTTGTTGGTCCTGCAGTTGAATCCAGTGACAGTCGTTGTTGGCGCGACAGTTGTATATAGGACAGTTGTTGTTGGTGCGAACAGTTGTATCAGCGACAGTTTGTTGTTGGTCCTGCAGTTTGAATCAGTGACAGTCGTTGTTGGTGCGACAGTTGTATCGGGGACAGTTGTTGTTGGTGGCGACAGTTGTATCAGCAACTGTCGTTGTTTGTGCGACAGTTGTATCAGCAACTGTCGTTGTATGGTGCGACAGTTGTATCCAGCAGCAGTAGATGTTGGTGCGACAGTTGTATCAGGCAACTGTCGTTGTTGGTGCGACAGTTGTATCAGCAACTGTTGTTGTTGGCGCGACAGTTGTATCAGGGAACAGTTGTTGTTGGTCGCGACAGTTGTATCAGCGACAGTTCGTTGTTTGTCCTGCAGTTTGAATCAGCAGTGACTGTCGTTGTTGCGCGCCGCGACAGTTGGTATCAGGGACGGTTGTTGTTGGTGCGACAGTCGTTGTATCAGCAACTGTCGTTGTTTGATGCGACAGTTGTATCAGCATTTGTCGTTGATGTCGTGCTGTTGCGACAGTTGTATCAGCTACAGTAGTTGTTGGTTGCGACAGTTGTATCAGCAACAGTAGTTGTTGGTGCGACAGTTGTATCAGCAACAGTTGTTGTTGTGCGGCAGTTGTATCAGAGACAGTTGTTGTTGGTCCGACAGTTGTATCAGCAACTGTCGTTGATTCGTGCGACAGTTGTATCAGCGACAGTAGTTGTTGTTGCGACAGTTGTATCAGCAGCAGTAGTTTGTTGATGGACAGTTGTATCAGCAACAGTTGTTGTTGGTGCGACAGTTGTATCAGCAACAGTTGTTTGTTGGTGCGGCAGTTGTATCAGAGACAGTTGTTGTTGGTCCGACAGTTGTATCAGCAACTGTCGTTGATGGTGCGACAGTTGTATCAGCAACAGTTGTTGTTGGTGCGTCAGTTGTATCAGAGACAGTTTGTTGTTGGCGCTGCAGTTGAATCAGCAACTGTTGTTGTTGGTCCGACAGTTGTATCAGAGACAGTTGTTGTTGGTGCGACAGTTGTATCAGCAGCACAGTAGTTGTTGGTGCGTCAGTTGTATCAGCAGCAGTTGTTGTTGTGCGTCAGTTGTATCAGAGACAGTTGTTGTTGGTGCGACAGTTGTATCAGCAACTGTCGTATGTTGTGATGGTGCGACAGTTGTATCAGCTACAGTAAGTGTTGGTGCGACAGTTGTGTCAGCAATTGTCGTTGATGGTGCGACAGTTGTATCAGCAACAGTTGTTGTTGGTCCGACAGTTGTATCAGCAACTCTCGTTGATGGTGCGACAGTTGTATCAGCAGCAGTTGTTGTTGGTGCGGCAGTTGTTTCAGAGACAGTTGTTGTTGGTCCGACAGTTGTATCAGCAACTGTCGTTGTTGGTGCGACAGTTGTATCAGCAACAGTAGTTGTGGGTGCGTCAGTTGTATCAGCAACAGTAGTTGTTGGTGCGACAGTTGTATCAGCAACTGTCGTTGTTGGTGCGACAGTTGTATCATCAACAGTTGTTGTTGGTGCGACAGTTGTATCAGCAACAGTAGTTGTGGGTGCGTCAGTTGTATCAGCAACAGTAGTTGTTGATGCGACAGTTGTATCAGAGACAGTTGTTGTTGGTCCGACAGTTGTATCAGCTACAGTAGTTGTTGGTGCGACAGTTGTATCAGCAACAGTAGTTGTGGTGCGTAAGTTGTATCAGCAACAGAAGTTGTTGATGCGACAGTTGTATCAGGAACTGTCGTTGTTGGTGCGACAGTTGTATCAGCAACTGTCGTTGTTGGCGCGACAGTTGTATCAGCAGCTGTCGTTGTTGGTGCGACAGTTGTATCAGCAACTGTCGTTGTTGGTGCGACAGTTGTATCAGCAGCAGTAGTTGTTGATGCGACAGTTGTATCAGGAACTGTCGTTGTTGGTCCTGCAGTTGTATCAGCAACTGTTGTTGTTGGTGCGACAGTTGTATCAGCGACAGTTGTTGTTGGTCCTGCAGTTGAATCAGCAACTGTCGTTGTTGGTGCGACAGTTGTATCAGCAACAGTTGTTGTTGGTGCGACAGTTGTATCAGCAACAGTTGTTGTTGGTGCGACAGTTGTATCAGCAACAGTTGTTGTTGGTGCGACAGTTGTATCAGCAACAGTTGTGGTTGGTGCGACAGTTGTATCAGTAACTGTCGTTGTTGGAGCGACAGTTGTATCCGCAACGGTTGTTGTTGATTCGAAAGTTGTATCAGCAATTGTTGTTGTTGGTCCAACAGTTGTATCAGCAGCTGTTGTTGTTGGTCCGGCCGTTGTATCAGCAACAGTTGTTGTTGGTCCGACAGTTGTATCAGCTACAGTTGTGGTTGGTGCGACAGTTGTATCAGTAACTGTCGTTGTTGGTGCAACAGTTGTTGTTGGTCCGACAGTTGTATCAGCTACTGTCGTTGTCGAACCGACATTTGTATCGACAACAGTTGTTGTCGAACCGAGAGTTGTATCAGAGACGGTTGTTGTTGGTCCGACAGTTGTATCAGCAACAGTTGTTGTTTTTGTGACAGTTGTATCTGCAGCAGTTGTTGTTGGTGTGACAGTTGTATCAGCAACTGTTGTTGTTGGCCCGACAGTCGTTTTAGCCACTGTCGTCGAACCGACATTTGTATCAGCAATGGTTGTTGTCGAACCGACAGTTGTATCAGAGACGGTTGTTGTTGGTCCGACAGTTGTATCAGCAACAGTTGTTGTTTTTGTGATAGTTGTATCTGCAGCAGTTGTTGTTGGTGTGACAATTGTATCAGCAACAGTTGTTGATGGTCCGACAGTTGTATTATCCACTGCCGTTGTTGTTGCGACAGTTGTATCAGCCATAGTTGTTGTTGGTCCGACAGTTGTGTTAGCCACTGTGGTTGTCGAACCGACAGTTGTGTCAGCAACAGTTGTTGTCGGCCCGACAGTTGTATTAGCCACAGTTGTTGTTGGTGCGACAGTTGTATCAGCGACGGTTGTTGATCCAGAAACAAGTGTTGAAATCAGCATCGTCAAAATAGTGTATGACAACTGCCTTATCAGGCGTCGTTGATCCGTCATTTCTATTTAGTGACTGTAAATATAAAAAAATGAATTGACATTGTTAAAATTAATAAAGGAAAGATTTGCATGTTTTATAGGAAGGAAAATTTTGTTGATCATGATGGATGTGAAATTTCATCGACTTTCGTTTTCGTTTTTTTTCGCATTTTAGCTTATCGAAGATTCTTGTATATCCTACTGAGACATGTATTGTATTTTTTCCTCTTTTCTGTTATACAATCCTTATATTTTGCAAATCCCCGTAAAAATCAAGTAAATAAAACTTCAGGAAAGCTGTCATTGGTTGTATAAAGTTTTTTACATCAGCAAACAACGTTTACAAAAGTTGTGCCGAATGACGTCACATATCACGTGCAATGTCACATTGAGTACAAACCTGCAAGTTCAACTGTCATAAATAGTTCTTTAGTTAAAGACACTTTGGTCTTAGAAACAACAACAGCAACAACAAAATAAAAATAAAATAAACAACAACAACAACAAAAAAGACAACAACAACAACAAAAAAACATGTATAAACATAATTGTCCATACAGCGTGCACTTGTGCAGATTTTCTTTTTTATATACAGTAATCACTATTTTACATGTATTAAATGCATTTTGTAGGCGCGCACACCAATGTTTGATTGATCAATTAATTATTACTTTATTTAATTAATTATTCATTAAAGTAATTAATTGTTCATTCGTTCATTCATTCATTCATACATTCATTCATTCAGTCATTCATTAATTCAAAAAGTATTTAAAATCAGTATTGTTTTCTCTTTATTGTAATAAAGAAACAATTTATAAGATAACTTTCCATTTATTCATAATATAATTGTTTATGGATATTCTCCTGAAAAATCACATTTTTAATCTGAAAACTCAATCTTATTTTGAAAACTCAATTAGATGTTGGTTTAAGGACCAGTTCACATAATGTACGAAGTCTATCACACGTCTGACCATTTATGATTACAAATGTACATGTATACAGATATTTCACAAATACACGAAATAACGCGCTCATTATTATAATATTAGTATCTATATTGATAAAATATTTAAAATTAAGGTTCCTCCGAATTTCAGAAGTTATCCATTATATTTTGAATATTACGAATCTTCGAGTTACCTCCCTTCATATGTAAAGCAGACGTGAAATATCGATGTCTGCTTCTCATGATTATATCCGGTCATAATGTTTCAGACGATAAAATCTTATTTATCCTTGATTGATTATTGAACCATGCCCAGTAATCTAGTAACTAATCTCGTAACACGTACATTAAATGCAGTTTTCAATCAAGGTGTATTTCTATTTAGACATATCGGATTCTTTAACATAAGAAATTAAGAAGAAAACTCGACATCATGCCTTGATGTCATCGAATATCATACATACATATATTATATCAACATCCCAAAATCCGTGTTTTTTGTCCTACGTTATATGTAAATTGTTAATCACTGTGAACGAAGAATCTTTATCCTTATTAAAATAAAGCCTTACTCATAATAAATTCGTTGTTATTTAACATAGCTTCCGCACATCACCATTTCTGTTATGAAAAAAAGACGATCCTTGAGAGTTTCGAAACTGTGTATAGTGGTTATTAGAAATCATTGGCGGAATACTCATTTCCGCGAGCAAGTTTGAAAAGTAATTGTGAATGAGAATCGGAGTTCTGTAAAATCAATACGACATAATTACTGAGTCTTATTGTATTTCTAAACTTCTAAATTTAACGCAATTTGCATGTTAAATTGTTGAAATTTAGGGGGTCCAGATGGGAGCTTGCATTAACCACTGCCATCTAAGAACGGGCTCAACCAAACCGAGGCTGCAACATTTCAAATTTAGCCGTGTAAGACGACATTCAAGGTTTCAAATTTACTAATTTAATTTACTTAAAAGGTTACATTTTCGAATTAACTATTTCAAAGTAAATTTCGAAAATATGTGGAAATCATTCCTTTGTAATGAATTATTATATTTACACTCAAAGTCTGTAACGCTGTAAGAACGTTCACAATATTGGAGGAATTTAGGTATATTTTATCTTAAAGAATATGTGATAGTTTTAGCTAATACTAGTAATCAACAATCAATTTTTCTCTGTCACAATTAGACATGCTTGAAAATGGTGGTTAATTTACGAAATTGATCTTTATGCATAGTTTAGTTTGTTTCTAAATCTTACAGATTTTCAGACAGATCATACGAACGTTTATTTAATGCTAAATAATTCAATACAAATTTTAGTGAAATTAAAACAAATTGAACTCCGACATTGCACTGAATGTTTGGACAGTTGCGTCAAATATCGGTCAAAGAAAAACGCCCAAGACAGAATAGGATGTGCAAATAGTGTTCGATTAAATATTGAATTGTTATTCTATATTAAACAAATATCCTATACACTTTCTAAAGTTAACGTAGCGGTGCTATTTGCCACTAGGCATTCGGTCAAATGACCCAGTCAAGCATTGACGTGTTCAAATACTATATGCATCCTTTATTTTCTCACCATTCATTTTAGTTCGGTAGTAAATCATTGTGACACATTTTATTTGGCTTCGCTATTTTCAAGTTTATTAAGATGACAACGATATTTATCTATATTCGTAAGAGCTTACCACTTTTGTTAAGGAGTCACTGAATTGTTTACATAATTGCCTTTATTTACACTTTAAAGCACTCTTGTAACCGTCGTTCATTCAATTATAAATTAAACGTAATCATAAAATAATTAAAATTTCTTTCTATTCAACAAATATTTAGCTCATTTGCGATATTCTTTTTAACTAATATAAAACAGCTAAGCTGACCTATTCAGACTGGCTTTTAATTTTCATAAAATGCCACAATTATTATCCCGGCTTTATAAGTATCAGCTCTTAAACATGCATTTCTAGTACATAATGAATAAAATGTTATTTTTTTACAGACCAGTCTTTGCGTCTTGTTATCGTACTAGCATGTGCGTCTTCCGATTAGTCTTGTGATCAGATTAGTCTGTGCTTCTTGCGGACAGACCAGCATGTGCGTCTTGCGATCAGACGAGGTTTTACATTGTTGGGAGCTCAATGTATTGAAATCCACAAAGCACTAAATGGGACTGTTCCAAAGTTAAAGTAAGGCAAATCCATTATACAAATTCAGAAGGTAATCGGACTAATTGTGTCTTTCAGCAGACAACTTCAACCTTTACTTCATCATTTCTCTGAAAGAAAGCCTCATTTTGACATTGCAATATGGCCATTACAACAACGGCATAGTCTATCAAGATCACACATTTAACATTTGAGAAAATTCAACTTCATATATTTTGGACGGTTACATTTGTGTTTGTTTACGATTGCCACTTTATAAAGTATATGTTTAGACATGACTGCAACATTTATTTATATAAATAATATTTAAACCCGATTTGAACACAATTACATCACAACAATGGCAGATTTGCGATTTATAAAATAATGCCCTCGTAATATAGAATAACGCTTTTACGTTTAAAACAGCTGTGTTAAGAAAATTGAGACTTAAAAACATGATCACAATCATAATATGAAACAATCCTGTTGAGAAATATGGCAATTTTGTCTATGCATGAATATATGATTTGTCATTTGCATTACACCAATACATGTACCACCATTAAAGAGACTCCACTGACGTTTTTACACATTACGGGACAGGAAATAGTCACATTTGTACACCATTTCATGTTGGTCTATACCATTAAATTTCAGATCATTTGCTCAATCTCCTTTTTTAGCATAATCATTTGAACCTCGTCATGACAAAACCAACATAGTGGGTTTGCGACCAGCATGGATCCAGACCAGCCTGCGCATCTGCGCAGTCTGATCAGGATCCATGCTGTTCGCTTACCAACCCTTTTAAAAGTAGAGAAACTGTTAGCGAACAGCATGGATCCTGATCAGAGTGCGCGGATGCGCAGGCTGGTCTGGATCCATGCTGGTCGCAAACCTACTATGTTGCTTTTGTCGTTACGCGGCTCATTTATTTGGTACAAAGTGAGCTAGTAAGACTAAGAAACGTACTTAATATAGATTTTCAATATGCTCGTATTACTTATTGTTTTTTTAAAATGTTTTTAGACTGAGCTCTTTTAATTTATGTCATAAATTTCAAAATTAATGGTCATTACATGGACATTACATTGACACCGGACTGGCCTGTCACATGACTAGTCCCTACTTATTTTTGACACCGCCGTCATATTAAACATAATTATTAAATTGTTGGTAATCCGACAAATTACAGGTCGGTGGTTAAATGAAAGTTCTTCTAAATTGATATTAAATTGTCCAAACCAAACACCTTGAAATCGATCTACAGACGTCATTATCTACACTGTTACAATTGGAGCTATTTTTACATCTATGTTTTAGTCATCCGCCGCCATATATCATACAATTGGAATAACTTCTGTTATACACAAATACGCGATACAATTTTAGATTGTGGCGTCATAAAAGCTATGCGTCAGTTTTAAACCACATAAATTCTACAGTGTTTAATATTTGAAGCGAGTAAAACGCATCAATATTATTTTGTTTTAGTTTAGAAGAAAATATGAATCTTATTTTTTTACTCGAAATTATCCTTTAAAGGACAAAATTAATTCTAAACAGATCATCATTTGGTAAGACCAAGAAGCCTAGATTCGTTGCCTTAGTGTATAAAAGTGGTTAAGTCCTTCTAAAATAATAGTAGTTAACCAGTTATTGCACTAAGGTGATGTGTTCAGTGTGTCCGTCTACAATTTGAATTGTTTTAACAGTTAATTGATGTATTGAAATACGGCTTATATATTATAGGGTTAGGGGAAATGATTAAAAACGACTTTATCAAAAATGATGAAAACCTTGGAATTACCCAAAAACTAGTTTTTCCATGTTAACACGTGCCCTTACACCTAAAATTTTGGTGAAAAATTGTTGTTTTTTGACATTTTTTATTTTTTTTTAATTAAATGAAGAAATAAAAATAACTTTTTATTCAAAGTTATTCTTTAGAGTGATGGCATTTTTGAAAGAATGAGATGAGAAGATGATGATTGTGTGAGCTTATGTGGGAGTGAGGCAGGGGGAGGGGATTGAGTGTATGTGGGAGGGAGGCAGGGGGAGAGGGTTGTGTGAGCGTATGTGGGAGTGAGGCAGGGGAGGGGGTTGTGTGAGCGTATGTGGGAGGGAGTCAGGGGGGTTGTGTGAGCGTATGTGGGAGTGAGGCAGGGGGAGAGGGTTGTGTGAGCGTATGTGGGAGTGAGGCAGGGGGAGGGGGTTGTGTGAGCGTATGCGGGAGGGATCCAGGGGAGGGGGTTGTGTGAGCTTATGTGGGAGTGAGGCAGGGGGAGGGGATTGTGTGAGCTTATGTGGGAGTGGGGGAGGGGGTTATGTGAGCGTATGTGGGAGTGAGGCAGGGGGAGGGGATTGTGTGAGCGTATGCGGAAAGGAGGCAGGGGGAGGGGGTTGTGTGAACTTATGTGGGAGGGAGGCAGGAGAAGGGGGTTGTGTGAGCTTATATGGGAGGGAGGCTTGTGTGAGCGTATGTGGGAGTGAGGCAGGGGGAGGGGGTTGCGTGAGCGTATGTGGGAGTGAGGCAGGTTTTACATAGTTTTACATATTTTCATAATCTCTATACAAATTTAATATATATTTTTTACTATGTTGTGATTTTTATTCAGAACTAAGAAAATTATATTTACCGATTAAGTACCTAAATGCTCCAACCCGAAACAAATTTAATACATTAATGTCTACAAAAAGTGATGATCTTATAAAGGGTACAGCAACATTTTTGTAAAAGGAAGTTAAACAATTAATATGTCTTAGATACAAAATGATAATTAAGAGACTCCCAGAAAAATAATTATGCTTAAAAGTTATTTTCAGTTAAATTTATATAGTATAAGTTTAAACATTGTGCACATGCTATAATTTTGTGTAAATTGTTTTTCTGTATATATGTTTTTGCATGGGCCGGTAGCCTTAAAGCGAATAAAGTATTTGTATTGTATTGTATTGTATTGTATTGTATTTTCTTCTAAAATTGTATTGTAAAAAAAGCAAACATTCTTTGGCACTAATGTGTATCTATCTATAGAACTATAATATATGAGTTATATATTTATCTTTCCAGAAACTAGAATGCCATCCCTTTTTGAATTTATTGCCGAGTCTAATGAAAGAACAGTTTTAAAACTAATATATAATATTTAGAGCTAAAAACGGCTTATATTATTCTCTCAAGAAAATAATCAAGTAACCCGAAATCAATATTATGCTTTCTTTGATTCATATCAAAATTAAAACTTCTCATAATCGACTGAAATAATGCATTTTTACATATTTAAATATTTACACGGTTCTTGACTCTGTAACCATAAATAAGTTACAATCTCCAGAAAAATTGATACTTATCATCGACAAATTGATTTGTACGTATCAAATGCTTTTATTTACTGTATAATTGGTCAATTAGTGAGTGCATGGCATGTTTGAATATCTTGTATTTCGACTGACATTGATCTTGTCACCTAATCTAATGCCATGTTACAATGATAACAGAATATGAAATGAATAATCGATCTGTGAATGGATATTCAATCAAAAGTTCAAATCAGTTTATGAGCCGAACTAAGGAATTGTTTGAACCGCGTCAAAAAAAAAATAAAAAATAAAAAAAAAATTAAGAATTAACCTTTTATTAGTATATATATTTATTTTCCTAAGACTAAAATGTGATTGTGAAGCTAATAATATATTATTCATGTTATTTTCTTTTCAAAGAAAGTATGTTTCTGTTAAATCATTTGCACGTTAAGCGTTCCTATCAACGTGATATGACGTTGACGTCAAAATCGTTTGTGACTGAACAGTGTTACTCGCATGATTATATTCAAACAGACTTTTAGACCGCTGTATGCGTCTTATTCGGGACGAATGTCATTACCGTGCGATAGATGTTAAACTTCTTAATAAATGTTCGATGCTTTATTATATTTTTTCTTGCTGTTATTGTTTGTTTGTTGTTTTTAGTTGTTGCTTTGTGTTCTTTTTGTAGTTCTTTTTTAGTTTAAAAAGTGACTCACCTTGCTTAAATCACAAGTTTTTAAACATTTTAAATTAATATTCACATACAAAAATTGAGACTTTACCTTTTTCATTAAGTAGTAATTCCCAAAAAAATCCAATTTGATTATTTGATTTAAATCCGTAAAATGAAACCACTCTGATTATATAATCCAATGAAATCACTGTTGAGTAATTTTGTTAAGATAATTCTAACGACTACACATCATCTTATTTCTTTTTTATTTTTGTAAATCCACAAAAAAAAATTATCAATCGAAAATATCCATGCGTTTCTTTAAATATGTTTTGCAATAAATGAAGCTGGTTTGCAATGAAAAGTCATCAAAATATTGCTTCCCACCTATTCCATAGTTTTGGCGAAAGTGTTAAAATTTCTGTAAATCCGTATTAGTTGACCCACACCCAGTTTTTCATTCATGCAAGATTTTTTCAATAATTCTACGGGAGCTTTACGAAAAGTTAAATATTGGTCAATAAGATCGTAAGAATAACAAAAGCATATTTTCTACTAGACTGACCTGCCGCAGGGGTACTATTAGAGGTAGTAAAATAGTCAAGTATTATTACTGACTTGTAGTTCAATGGCGTATTTCTAAATTAATATTTACTTAATAAATATTTTCAAAATGTGTATTGCTTTAATACAGTCTAACAGACTTCATTTCCAGTTTATTTCGGACAATCTGGCCAGAGTTTAGGACAAACGGTTTTCCTCCTTTCTTTTTATCTGCCTGTCTCTGTGAAAAATGTTACCGCATTGGTCAATAACATATTTGTTTTATAAGACTTATGCTTGGACACAACATATCTTTTTTTACAAGAACATCATTTTCACGTCCTGAGGTATGGCATTGATTTAATTAGATGACCTTGACATTCAAAGCTCAACTAAAGATGTTCACCATAACCTTGTTATTTATTTATGTACGTAATTTGCTATGCTATACAAGAATTAAATAACTGAAATGCATGCGTTTTTGCAGTTGTGTTAGTAACATGTTTTGTATTTATTATTCATTAATTTTATTGAACGTATCTGATATGTAGAATCCATTCTTGTGATGTGCCAAATTTATTACAAGTTCATGGGAATTGTTCTAACACAATAAAAGATCATAAATATGACGTCTTCCTGTCTTCTACTAGGGGATGTGGGGGACGGGCCAAGATGACCCTTCAGAAATCATCTGAGGTACGTACGTTCACCTGTATATTGAGTTTCTACATACCAGCTAGCCGGAGAAAATTACATGGAACAACCAGTGTCTGTGAAACATGAATCCTTAAGTTTCAAGTTTATTGAATATACATTGTATATCCCAGTTGCATATTTACAAAACAAAAAGCATGAGACAAATACATTTGTAATTGTAAATAATAATAAACAGTCACGTGAACATGTGAGGGCAACACTGTCTGAATATATTAGATGTAAAAATATATTTGGGCGTATCAATAATAACCTAATGTAATACAAGAAAAAAAAACTGTCAACATTCCAACAAAAATGAAAGCATGTGAATGAATGTGTACATATTTAATTATTCGTAGAAAACATTGACTAGGAAATTTTTATATTAAAATCGGTAACATAATAATGTAAAACTTATTGTGTGTTCTTTTCTATTTTATCTAATCAACTTGTTTAACTATTTGAGCCGCGTCACGACAAAACCAACATAGTGCGTTTGCGACCAGCATAGATCCAGACCAGCCTGCGCATCCGCGCAGTCTGATCAGGATCCATGCTGTTCGCTTACAAACCAGAGAAACTGATAGCGAACAGCATGGATCCTGATCAGAAAGCGCGTCAGAAAGCAAGTCCATTTAAAACTAATGCAGTAGGTTATGGGTTACAGGTGTTGTATCTTTCGTAGAAATCCAAGTCAGATCTTATAGCCTGAAACTACATTTATCACGATTAAGACAAAGTGACATTCAATTTATTTAAGATAAAAATCGTTGTTTGTGAAGTCGATACATTCCAATGCCCTGATTTACAAAATTATAGTTTTTACGGTCATCGTAAACGCATAAACAGTCTGACTCGCCCAAATAACATAGCGGTCAAATGCGCGAAAACATATTAGTGTGCTGTGTTTTTTATTTTCCAAATATAATGCTTATTTTATTGAAAAGAGATTTAGGGCGGTGCCTTGCAATTTCGGGCGTAATACATGGGGCTTAAGAGATTATTGAAATAAAAGCCCGGATTAGCTTTTTCTTTAAACGGTGTAAGTGTAGACCTAAAATCACCTTTGATGTAATCTTTGGTCATAAAATCGAATTCCAATCCATACACCGTAGTATAACCGGTGCTACGGAACACACATGTCTCGAACGAAACATCCGTAATTTATGATCTTTGCATGCGTGCATTGTCATTTGAATATTTTAATGTTGCCCATTTAAGTCTCAAAACGGAAATATTTTCATGAACATTATCATGCAGGTTACCTTTTTAATTATGAATACGATTGTACTTCTAATACCCTTAAGCTTAAACCTGTTGCGAGTTTAAACCTGTAATATACATGTATATAATATAATTATATTGGAAGCCTATTTTTTCTTCCATTGTGCGTTTTCACAGTCATGCATTAGTCGTGCTTTTTTGTAAGCAATAACAATTTTACTATTCCACACACGATTATGACATTGCATTGAATACTAAACAAGGTATTATCATGCATGATTATTAAGGCAACTAACATGTTTACCATTTTTCCTCAACAAATGTATTTGACCTATAAAATAACAATCCCATACATTTAAAAAAGGACGTGTTCCTTCTAAATTCCAAGGTAAATAAGTTAACGTATATAGCTTTGAAAGGGATTAACAAGTAATTATCAATCTAAATATTGACTTTCTTTACCACGAGTTGTTCCCCTTTAACTGTATTTGACCGCTTATAAAACGAACGGTCAAACTTTCTATCACTCATTGATGTCATTATTATTTCATTATTATGTATATATATACGTAATAATATCGGAATTCCTCGGATAGTATCGATAATGTCTAGAACATATACAACTTATTAATGACAACGTGGCCAGTTTTAATTATAATTGCTCTATTTCAATTTAAATGTATCAAAAACATAAATTTGTAAAACCAGCAGACTCCGTTAATAATCCGCCCGGTTAAACCGTGAAATCTAGCCGGATGTTTGTACTTTTATAAATTTAAATGGTCGTATTTTCGTCAGAAATCTTATTATTTATACAATAAATATAAATTCTACAATGTATTACGTAGAACTAGGCTTAATGAAGAAGTCTTAAGTCTGGCCACTTGTGGCAATCGGCTAGTGGGCAATGTTCAGTTAAATGTATTTAAGAAATCACTAGTCTTAAAGTGATTTAGTCTAAAATGGGAATTATTTTGGTAAGTATTTCTAAGCAATTGGAGGTATCATTTTGGATATTCTTATAAAATGTGTCTTGAAAAAATATCGATCTAGTTCTTATTGGTTTACTACGAACATTTATCTGATGAATTATAACAAATTGTTCTAGAACAATTTATCGTCTGCTATATATGAGTATGTAGGGGGGGGGCGTCAATTGCTGAGTGGTTAAGCTCGTTGATTTCAAACCACTTGCCCTTCCCCGCTGTGGTTTCGAATCCTGACAGGGACTTTGGATTCTTTCAAGTGAGGAAACTATCCGGCTAGCTTAAGGAACGTCTAATTTTTTTGTATGATGAGTAAAATTTAATGACGAATTTAAAAATAAAAAGAAAAATATATGTTGACGTGTTGGATTTCTTGTAAAATGGCAGTTTCCATAGTAACCGTATATCTAAAAACTGTCAAAATAGCCTAACTGTGTTATAACGAATAGAAAATGTATGAGATAGCTTAAAACACACAACAAGCATTGTTTTATGCAAAGATAACCTTATCTAATGATTCTGTATGAAACAAATGATAATCTGAACATATTTCTTTAAAAAATGAGTTTTCCATGTTCCTCAACCGAACAAAAAATGAGAAAAATAAACATGAATTCTGAGAATAATTAGAGATATTGAAAAAAGTGTTTCATAGGATTTTCTATTTTTTTTGTATGTTGTGTAAAATTTAATGACAAATTCAAAAAGAAAAAGAAAAATATATGTTGGCGTGTTGGATTTTTGAAAAAATGGCAGTTTCCTTGGTAACCGTATATCTAAAATTGTCAAAATAGCCAAACTGTGTTATAATAATGTATAAAATAGCTTATTACACTCACAATAAACATAATTTTATACAAAGCTTGCTTTATCTTAGGGTTCTGTATAAAACAACGATAATTGGAACATATTTCTTTAAAACATGAGTTTTCATGCTTTTTAACTAAACAAAAAATGAGAAAATAAACATGAATTCTGTAAAAAATTAAAAGCTATCAAGAAATTTCTTTCATAGAATTTTCTACATTATTGATATATCAGTAACATTTGATGGTGGATTCAAAAATAGAATAAAATATATATGTTGACGTGTTACGTTTTTTGTAAACGGGCAGTTTCCATGGTTACCGCATATGCCAACTGTCAAAATTACCACGCTTTCTTAAGAAATATCAGTGTTAATACTAAATGTATTGTCAAATATACAACAAAAACATGTTGTATAAAAACTTTCTTTTTCTTTTGATGTTTATTAAGTAAACTGATACTGAATATCTTTTTAAAACATATCTAGGGCCATATATTTTTTTCACTCGACTAACATACCCGAACAGTAAGCAGTATTAGAAATTTACAAAGAAAATAATGAAATTCGGAACATTTCTTAGATATTAATTTGTTTTTTTATTCAACACTTTTAAAATATTGCATTTTAACTTCTTTGCCGATTGTCTGCCAGTAATCAAGTCGCGACGGTCACTTTTCGTCACTATACCACAAGTGGGTGGGTAACGCGCGCAGAATAATTATCATCATGCTGTCGTACTAATGCTTGAGAAATCCTTTATGTGTATGTGTTCTAACGCACTTCTATTCTTTTGAACCGATCTCCTTTTAAATCATTTAGAAAGTATCTATTCTGTATTATTTACTCATTATTTGCTTATAGCCGAAATTTAAACACTTATCCGAATACTATTCAACTTGACCTTCATTTGAAGAGTAAATATCCATGATTATCTTTCTTGGAAGCGCATAACGATGCGCACAAAAAAACTACCGAAAACGTCTTGAAACTGTGTTGGTGCGACGTGAAACCCGACAAAATATGTATGTAATACTGGATCACACTTACCAACAACAACATTATATATATCTTATCAACAACATCTTATCAACAACATCCACATATAATTATTTCCCTTTCGTAAAAATATTTTCGTGTAGAATGCCTCTATGTGTGACAGATAAAACTTTTCAAACTATTTTCGAATAAGTTAATTTTATTGAATATAAAACAAACAATATATAAAATTTTGAGTAAAATATTCCTCTATAAAAATAAATTGTATATGCATAATAACAGATTACATAAATACATGTATATAAAGATGTAGTATTAAAAAGGTAGTCTATGTTAAAATACATTATAACAATGTATTTACACATTTTCATCACTAGACATATATACCCGTAGTGCCGCACGTAAATTCGATAACACGTGAAAGACATCAAAAGAAAGGAAAAATTTTATTATCTGTAGGATAAAATGTAATCTGGTTTAAAATTTC